GATAATTGTATAGCGAAAGGGCTACAGATCAACAAAAAAGAGCAGACTGTCTGGGCAGACCAGAAAGGCAATTACTACCTTTGTTTCTTAAGGTCAGCACGCACACATAATTTCTCATTTATATTTTTATTAGTATTATCTGGAAAGGGCCAGCCAGTGAGATTTCTCCCGCCTCCCTTCCCAGTGTCAAGCACAGGGAGCTGGAAGTGTCTGAGTTTTCTTAGGCCAGTTTTTTCTACGCCATGTTGCATACCTTGTTGATTCCATCCCTCTGTCTGGCCACTCCAAGTCACAAACATGGGTGTCCCCCTTGCCACCTCCTGTGCACAGCCACTGCAGCGGCATGAGCACCTACTGAGACTGTCTCTGAGTTGCTGAGGTGTGTTTGTACCCTACTGCCGCTGAGCTAAGCCACCACCACCCCTTCCTTCACCTTCCCACCATCTTACTGACCCCTGAATGATTCTTTTGCCTCCTTCTGTTGGAAAATGCAGATCCCTGAGTAAGCCTTTTCAAATAGCCTTCTCTCCCTCCTCCTCCTCCTGGTGTGAATGTAGGTGTGTGCACACGGATGTGTGCAGTCTGAGGCTGAGACACTGGGTATCTACCTAGATAGACCTCCACTTTATTTCTTGGCAGAGGCTCTCTTGATAGACATGAAGCTCATAGCTAGCTGGCCCAGGGGTTTTGTGGGCTCTGGGGATAAGATCCAGTTCTGGTCTTCATTCTTGCCTGCAAACCCTTTATCAACTGAGCCATCCCCTAATCCTCTTCTTTAGGCCTCCTGTGGTCTGCCCTTCACCCACACTCCTACCTCACAGGCTCAGTGTTTTTAGTCTGATCCCAGAGCTTTGCATTGGGAATGGTTTGGTAAAATAATAATGATTGCTGACCTTTATTGACCAACTTGTGTGTGTCAGCAACAGACTAAGCCCTGGCAGTTGATTCTCCTGCAATACTGACAGCTGTGGTCCCATCCACCACATTGTATGAGGACAGAAAGGGCTAAAGATGTAAAGTTTCCCCAAGCCCAAACTTCTTAATATTAGATGGACTAGTAAATATATGCAGTCAGTCAGGGCACATGCCCTGCATGGTGAGGCAGTTGGTCATCTAGCCTGGGCTGCTGAAGCTAATGGATAATGCTCAAAAGACCTGGGCTTAACAGTGTGACTGCAGACGACTCACCTCTGAGAGTCAATTTTCCCATCAACAAAGTTGTCATCTAATCAATACATGTCTTCTTTGTTCGCCAGATCAGGCCAAGCAGCATCAAGGCAGGACTTTAACACATCCAACATGTATGTTAAATGAAGATAGGACATAGTTCCCCTGCGGAGAAAACTAAGACACATAAGCCACCCTGGCTCACTCTGTAGGACTTTTCATGTTATGAGGAGAGCTTAGATGACCGTAGAGACCACAGGATCTGTTGTGTTACAAGCGGCAGGGCTGCGTCCCTGGCATGCGGCCGCCCGCATGGCTAGCTTTACCCGAAATAATTATACAGAAACTGTATTCTTTTAAACACTGCCTGACCCATTAGTTTCAGTTTCTTATTGGCTAGCTCTTACATATTGATCTAACCCATTTCTATTAATCTGTGTAGCCCACGAGCTGGCTTACCAGGAAAGATCTTAACCTGCGTCTGTCTGGAGTGGGAGAATCATGGCGACTCCCTGACTCAGCTTCTTTCTCCCAGCATTCCGTTCTGTTTACTCCGCCTACCTAAGGGTTGGCCTATCAAATGGGTCTAGGCAGTTTCTTTATTAATAAGAAATCACTCCCACATCATTTCCCCTTTTTCTGTTTAAACAAAAAAGAAAGGCTTTAACTTTAACATAGTAAAATTACATATAGCAAAACAGTTATCAAGCAAGAATTACAGTTACAATATTTATATCTATTTTATCTTTTATCATAACTAAGGAAAACTATAACTATCTATTCATTTTTCAACTCCATCAAAGACTCCAGAAGGATATAATACTACCTAAGTAAACAAGAAATAAGAAAACTCTAGAAATGACAGAGACATTTCGCTGCCTGGACAGTCAGCCAAAGTTCTTTTGTACAGTTGGGGCATCCATCTTCAGCCTTCAGGCCCATAGTATCCAGCAGACATTTCCATGAAGCAGGAAATTTCAAAGACAGTTCAGTCACTATCTGCTGTGTCCTGCAGAATGTCTCATAGACTCTTTCATGAGTCATGAACCCCAAAAGACCGTCTCACCTTTAGACAAGTTCAGCAGTCCTCTCTCTGCGGGTTCTCTTTGTCCAGTTTATGCAACAGTCCAGGCAAGAACAGTTTCTTGCCCAAATGGCTATCAAACTCCATAAGGAGCCTCTTCGATGCCCATCTTCCTCTTGAAGTAGATTGGTGCTGCCAGGAGCAGATATGTCTCATTGTCATGAAAAGTCCTAAGTTATTAAAACACTAAATGCCATATTCTGCAGTCTTTGAAAGATATGAAGAATGTCTATCTAACTGAAATGTATCTCTATATATCTAGAAAATCTAACTAACATGACTACAAGCTTGACTATTACTGATGATTATCCATAACCTATATTTCTTAATTATACATTACATTTTTAAATGAACTACACAATCACAATACCTTAAGATCAGAAATACATATAAATATAACAAAATTGACTTTAAAATCCACACCAATGCAAATTACTCATACCTATATCATTTTCCCCTTTAAATGTAAAAGAACATTTACAAACAATATTTTGGGAACATGGGCGCAGTTTTTTCTCTCCAAACTGCTTCCTGCTGAATGGGGGCGTCGTTAATTAGGTCTTTTATGGTATAACCTGTGTGCTAGTTTCATCTCAGTTGGCAGTTGAGCGAAGCAATTTTCTGAAGATGTTCACAACAACCTTTCAGGAGGGCGTGGTCTATCATACCAAATTGTAATAGAAGAAATCCACAGGGTCTGGTCCTCTGTGAAAACAAAAGAAGACCCTCTCCAAAGCATTATATTCTTAAACCCAAATTTTGAAATCGTAATACCCTTATATCCATTCTGGTTTAGCTTAGCAGCCCATGTAATGAAATGTCTCTCTGTACTTAGCTCCTTTACAGTCAAAAATTTTAAAGAAAACACAATGTACATAATCCAGACTCTCTGTGAATTTTTCATTTTTACGTGGCTTATTTTTCTTTATTTCTTTTAATCTCTTAACTATCTGTACTCTGTCTCTTTAAAGACTTTACCCTTTTTTTTAAGACATTTACTTTATTCTCTATATTCTTATTCTTCTCTCTCTCAAGCCTATGTACATTCATCCAACACTGTGATCCACTGAGGTCTGTTATGTCTGAATCTGTTTTATTGTGAATCTGTAATATTTTTACTATCCAGGAGCATTTCTTAAAATGTTAAGCACTTCTTAAAAACTTAAGTTGCACCATGTACAGGTAATACGGTACCACCTGTGTCCTGCCCAGTCTAAACCTTAACTGTGCTGTTATTATGGTAATTACGGTAGTTCCTGCCAACCAGCACAGTTCAGCAAGGAGCAGCCGCTCCTGCCTCAGATCCATTTGGTGCCCCTGAGCTGTGCACAGTTCCAGGCACACAGCAAGTCCTCATTGGAGCCGCACTCAGTAGTTTAATTTTGAGACTGAGCATGCAGCACAGAAACTCTTTTTATCCAAGTTACAACCAAATCTGACACGCAGAGCACTGCGCAGTCTGAAAACACGTCTCTTTCACCATGCTCTTCCGCCTGCCTAAGCCTGATTCTGCCATCTGCCCAGGTGCAGGCGGGGAGCACTGAGAGCACTCTCCTTCCGATCCCAAGCGGGAACACAAACATCCAGTCCCATAAAATCCATTGAAATGCTTTAAAGCCAGAGTTTGCATTGGCGGCACAGTCCCAAGAAGCCGCACTTTAAAATGACGCAGCTTTTTTTTCTGTTGCTGTTGCCGAATCAGGAAATCTCTCTACAGCACGCCACCAACAAACAGCAAAATTCTGTGTTAAAGTCTCTCTCCCTTATTTTTAAGCCTTCTCAGGTTTTTAAGTGGATTTAGTCCATCACGTCGGGCGCCATTCTGTTGTGTTACGAGCGGCAGGGCTGCGTCCCTGGCATGCGGCCGCCCGCATGGCTAGCTTTACCCGAAATAATTATACAGAAACTGTATTCTTTTAAACACTGCCTGACCCATTAGTTTCAGTTTCTTATTGGCTAGCTCTTACATATTGATCTAACCCATTTCTATTAATCTGTGTAGCCCACGAGCTGGCTTACCAGGAAAGATCTTAACCTGCGTCTGTCTGGAGTGGGAGAATCATGGCGACTCCCTGACTCAGCTTCTTTCTCCCAGCATTCCGTTCTGTTTACTCCGCCTACCTAAGGGTTGGCCTATCAAATGGGTCTAGGCAGTTTCTTTATTAATAAGAAATCACTCCCACATCAAGGATCTAAGAGCAACATCTAGAAGAAGGATACTGGAAACTGAATTCTGTGCCACCAAAGGCAAAAAACAAAAAACAAAAATCAGAGTGCTAGCATAAATTGCCTAGTTGACTCAAAATGTACTTCTAAATGTGTTTTAATATCTTTAGTGAAACAGAGTTATTTAATTAAAACAAAACCAAAAACTAGTGTATTAAGTCAGGTTAGCCCTCCTGTAATCCTATTACTCAGTAGGCTGAGGCAGGAGGGTAATGGATGGATTCAAGGTCAGCTGGGCTATGTACTTGAGACCCTGGATTATAAAAATGACTGTGTGATGCTTCTCTTTGTGCATTTAGATCCTTTCTCCAATTCTGTCTGCATCGCAAGATGCCACAATGCGACTTCCAGTGGTGTGACCCATGACTGTGGAGATCCTAACAAATCATTGCATTAAGCCTGTCGTTCTGCATTTAGACCCTGCCTCGTATATGGAGAAAGGACAGGATGCTGCTTCCAGATGTTGTGTGTGATGTGTGTTTATGGAGACGGGAAAATTCATTTCCTTCCTCCATTTCTTCAGGTCTCAGAATGCAGCTGGCCCATCAGGCAGGCCCCAAGTCTACACAACTTGTTTGCTGTGTGTCGGAATATGTACAACTGGCTACTGCAGAATCCCAAAAATGTCTGCGTTGTCCACTGCTTGGTGAGTATTCCTTGGTCCTTCTGCCTGGTGAGGCTTTGGTGAAATATGGGCAGCTGTATCCAGAAGGGCGACCTCTGAGCTCAACAACATTTACTGAGCCTCTGTTTAGAGGTAGAGTAATGCCAGGCAGGTAAAAAATGAGGGGAGGGAAGAAATGATGTATTACTTTGAAAGCCTATTTTCTTACTTGTGGCCTTTCCTCTAGTCCCCTAAAGGTAAAACATCTCTGCAGCTAAACATCACCTATGGCATTTAACACATAGCATCACCCCAGGCCATCCCCTGCCCACTTCCCACTGGTCTGTCCTCTTGCGGGAAGAAACTTTCTCTCAACTTTGCCACCGAAGATCTGAGCAAGTGGCTGTGTCTATGAACACAGTGAGCCTGGGCATAAGCGCTGGAAATAGTCTATTCCTCCTGCAAACATCCACCGGTTTGTAGCGATGCTGTTTGTTGTTTTGTTTTGCTGAGGCTACTGGATGACTTTCACCTCTGTGGGAGCCAGCTGGCTGAAAAAGAGAAGCCAGTTGAAGAACCTTTTTATATTTCTGTTTCAACTCCCCAGTTCTTGGCAAGCGATACAAAACGCTCGGTTGTCTGTAAGCATTTAATGTTGAAGGCCGCAGGGCTTAGCTTTTATTTAGAGCCACAATGGATCACTCAAAGAACAGGTTGCTTTTAGGGCCTAGGCAGTCTTAAGTGCAGTGGGGATTTTCACTTACATTTTTTTCTAAAAGTTTAAGAGAGGCTAGAGGCTCCCCAGCTCTCATAATGCAATCACAACGAATTAAAAATCCAAGACTTTGTGGATTCATCTGGGGATTTGATTGCCACGGTCATTACAGTGACCAAAATAAAGGGACTGACATGCAGTTTGAGACGTTACAATGGTGAGCACACTTCTCATGAACCGTTGGTCACCCTAAGCCACTCTTGTGTAGTCCCTGGCTTCCTGTAACCATGTGCAAGTTCAAGAAAACCATGAAAGAAGGCGGGAGAAGTGTCTCAATGATTAAGAGTGCCTGCTTTCCTTACCGAGGACCCAAGTTCAGTTCCCAGAACCCATGTCTGGTAACTCACATCTGCTTGTAACTATAGCTCCGGTGATCTAATGCCCTCTTCTGATCTTAGGTACCAGGCATGCACTTGGTACACAAACATATATTCAGACAAAGCAACCATGCACATAAAAAAAATAGAAAAAAAAAGATGATATGAAACGAGGCTGGAGCGATGGCTCAGTGGATATCTTATCTAAGGTGGAGTTGGGTGCAGCTTCAGGCTCTAAGCATCTGACCCGTGTGATCACGGTGAAGCCCCATGAAGAGTGTCAGGGACCTATGATGAGTGCCTGGAGGAGGTGCCGTGCTGGCTGCCAGCCTTGTGAAAGGCTTGGGCAGAAGTCTGGCTTGTTATGGATAGCTATAGTGTTTAGAACTCCTGACTCCCCAAGGCATAGATTCTTCTCTGGGCAGCATCAGCAGCTGTTCTTGGAGGCAGAACCATCATCTTTTCCACTTCTGGCTGAGCTTAAATGAAGACAGTTTGACCAGAGCTCATTCTATGTCTTGCTGTCTGCACACCAAAGGCTGACATGTTAGGTATGTCCAGAGGTGTGCATTCCAAATGTTAACGGCTTTTTGATGGAATCCAAAGGAAGAAGAATGGCAGGGATTGATCTGGCTTTAATCCGGACTCAGAAGGGCTGATGGACTGGAAAGGCATGTCAGATATGTGAAGGACTGCCTGAGCAAAAGGAGTGGGCTTCTCCCTTCGTGGAGGGAAGTGTAAAAAAAGGTGCTGACTAGAAGCTATAGAGGAAAAGTCGGGAGTGGTGGCCCACAGCTTTAAGTGCTAGCACTTGGTGGGCAGAGGCAAGCGGATCTCTGAGTTGAGGCTAACCTCTTCTGTTTACCAGTGAGCTCCAGTGAGGGCTACATGGTGAGACTGCCTGATAAACAAACAAACAATGTGGAGGAGCAGACTTTAACTCATCATCCATAATAGGAAACAGTTTGTAAACTGGTGTGAGCCACCTCGAATAGAAGCAGTTTCCCTTTTACTTGTTCTAGGAGAGGCTTAGCTTTCTTCCATCAGCTGGGTTACCGGATGTTGTCACAAGGCAATCATAGATTGGGTGACTTAAGTGGTAGAGATTTCATTTCTCATGGACAATATGGAGGTTGTAAGCCGAGCTCAGGCTGTTTGCAGATCTAGCAGGTCTGCTTCCTTCCAAGGGGGCACACACAGAGGCGTCCTCTCCCAGGAAGGGAGGGGACAGAGAAAGAGAAAGAATCCATAAGGGCCTCTTGCTCATGACCTAACTATACCAGAACCCCAGCCTCCAGTTCCAGTTCCTTTACATTAGGAATTAATATTTCAATACATGAATTTCAGGAGGAGATAGTCAGTTTATAACACATCGATTTTTACAGTGAATGAAGTTTTTTGTATTAATGAACATACAGTATGAGTGGAGTACATGCATAGCACCTTCCAAAGGTGGCATCTAACTTGAGGCTCTTTATTTCTACTTAATTGCTTACTATTCCTGACAGTGCCTCTAGTCCAGAGTTGGTCTAGGTCTCAGAAAGTATATGCAAGTGAAGTTTATTTTGCTGAGCCTCTTGGTGAACATTGCGTCAGTTTTATCCTGAGAAAAGTCTTTCCTTGCTGCTGTCTGATTTCACAGCAGGACCAGATTTTTGGTCTTGAACAATTCTGAAGTGAAAGGCACCGATAGTAAGGAGGTGCCTGTTTTCTCTCTTCTCTGCAAGCGGGCTTTTCCCAGATTTGATGTTTCTGACGAATCTGTGGGTCTTCTTTGACAGGATGGACGGGCCGCGTCATCAATTCTGGTTGGTGCTATGTTCATTTTCTGCAATCTCTACTCTACTCCTGGCCCTGCTGTTCGATTGCTCTATGCAAAACGACCAGGAATTGGACTGTCTCCGTCCCATAGGAGGTACAGAGATGGAGGTGCAGGGTATGGTGCCTGGTACTGTGGGAGGCTGGCCCCATGGGAGCTCTCTTTCAATCTTTTTCTAATTGATCTGGTGTTATCCTGAACAATGATGACAGTTAAGATGGGTAAGAATTTTAAGTTTTCATGCAGGTTCATGAAAGTCTGTGATTTTGAAACTGAAAGGGAACTTTTAAAAATGCCAATGTTTACTGAATGAAAAAAGGAAATAAAAAAGGAAGGTCCTGACTGCTTCTTGGTAGGGCAGAGGAGAAAGTTTATTGTAGAGAAAAGGAAGAGTGCAGCCAGAGGCAGGGACATCTGGGAGAATCCAGAGCGGACATAGCCAGACTGAGCTGGGCCATGTGGGGGGAAGGGGAGGAGTATGGAGAGAGGAAAGAGAGGAACTGGGAGCAGCAGTCAAGAGGGCAGAGGTACAAAACGGGGAAGGAGGTATCCAAAATGTCTGGAGCCCCTGGGCTGGAGGGTTCAGGGGGTAGAGGGTGGGGTATGCCAGTTATATTTTGTAACAGGTAGGGACTGAGGGATCCTGGGAGAACCTGGTGGCCAGGTCTGCTTGGATATGTTACATAGGCACCTCAGCCGTTTGTCCTAGGACTTGAGACTTAACATTCTGCTTTGCTCCTTTAAGAGGAGAGGAAGCATGAGAGAGAATGACAAGAAGGCTGTGCTAAGCACCAGCCTAAAAATACCCACTGGACATAGCTCGAACATTCTCTCCAGTCCCAGCTCCCAGCGCCTTTCGGTTTTGCTTTAGATCTTCATTGAGATACACTCTTGATCACTGTGTGTAAATGCAACAATACAGAGAGAGTATGTGCTTTAGAGATTGATTTTTCTCATGACTGAGATGTGGGGATGTAATAAATAGATCTAGGTTATACTAGATAATGTGCAAATGACTTTAAAGAAATCCCTTCTTTAGATATCTGGTTTATTGCCTTCCCTAGAGTTGGAATTAGTTTCTCTGTTCTTACTTAAATTTTATCTTCTCACTTCTTTGGATAAAATTCCTGATAATAAATTCTAAAGATTATCTAAATCTGCCTTTTGCTGACGTGCTTAATCTGCTAGATATAACACAAATATATGTCCAAATATTGGGCTAGCATAACACTGCCACAAGCTTTAGACGGAGCAAACAGCCTTCTATCAGTTCAGCATGTCAACGAAAGCAAGCTTTTTCTCATTTTAAAAAAGACTTATTTATCTTTATGTTATGTATATGGGTGTTTTGCCTACATGTATATATGTACTACACATACATGCCTGGTGCCTGTGAGAGAAGAAGAGGGTGGCAGATCCTCTTGGACCTGACGTTACAGAGTGAGTGAGCAACCATATGGGTGCTGGAAACCAAACCTGGTTCCTCTGTAAGAGCAGCAAGTGCTCTTAACCACTGAGCCTTGGCTCCAGCTCTGATCCACAAACTTTCCTAATTGTCTCTATTCCCCTTTGGTGGCTAATGTGAAGGAATGAGCAGACGACTTTTCTACTGTAATTTAATTTACAAAGACAGACTTCACAGCAGAAATTGTCTGATTGTCCTGTTAGGATGGGCTCAGAGGACGGCGGTCTTCTGTTTCAGGTACTTGGGCTACATGTGTGACCTACTTGCAGACAAGCCCTACCGCCCTCACTTCAAGCCACTCACGATCAAGGCAATCACTGTCAGCCCAATTCCCTTCTTCAATAAGCAGAGAAATGGGTGTCGCCCCTACTGTGATGTACTGATTGGAGAAACTAAAATATATTCCACATGCACGGATTTTGAACGGATGAAGTAAGTCACAATGTTGTTGCTTCTTGCATGCTGAATTCCCGTGAAAGTTAGATTCTCCCTGCTTATTGCTGGGACAAGTAGTTTGTTTTTTTTTTTTTTTTTAAAAGCCCAACGTATAGTAATCAAAGATAAGCACAATTGAACCCAAGGATTTTTCTCCTTTATACATGGTGGTACTGAGTTCTGAAGGATGGTGCTTGGAGTGTCCAGATGATAGGGTGGGTGGGCACAGAGGACCTAGACATTTAAAAAGGAGACTCAGTAATTTGGGTAGATGATTATCCTAGTTACTTTAAATTGATGTTCTAAGACACCACGACCAAGGCAACTTATAGAAAAAGAGTTTATTAGGGGCTTATGGTTTCAGATGGTGAGTTCATCATGCGGGGGGGCGGGGATGGGGGCAGGCAGGCAGGTATGGTGCTGAGACCTCACATCTTGACACAGCAATCAGGAGGCAGATGTAGCCAACTGGGAATAGAGTGGACTTTTGAATCCTCAAACCCACCCCTAGCTATGCACCTCCTCCATTAAAGTCACATATCATCCTTCCCAAACTGTCTACCAACTGGGACCAGCTATTCAATTATTGCCAACGGAGGCCATTCTCATTCAAACCACCATAATGATGTACTCAAAGTACATGTATGATCTAAAAGAAGAAGAGGCACCAGTGGAAGGTCCTTGGGGTTTAGGAGACTAGGGAGTGACTGGGAACATAACATAGACTTAGTTGGCAATAGGTTACTTTAGGAGTCAGAATTCTAGACCCTGGGAGAGTATAACATTCCTTTCTCTATTCTGACTTTGGTTGGATTTTACTGTGTAAGGTGTGTTGAGGAAAACAAGATCTGTCCAGGAGTCTAGATGAGATGGAGAGAGAAGGCCTACATTGGATCAGTGCTCTACCAGCTCAGAAAGTTTGCATCCAGATCACACTGGCTGCATTCCTACCTTTGCACAAGACAGGAAGTAATTTCTTGGTGCAAGCCTGGACAAACATGTCCCTTAGAGTCACAAAGATGCATTCCTGTGTCTACAATAGTACCAGACTAAATGCTTTCATGTCTCTTCTGATCTCTGTTTAAAGAGAATACCGAGTCCAAGATGGGAAAATCTTCATCCCCCTGAACATCACAGCTCAAGGTGATGTCATTGTTTCTATGTACCACCTGCGATCAACCATCGGGAGCCGGCTGCAAGCTAAGGTAAGTGCTCAGGGGGACCCAGACTATGAGCCCACTTGAATTTGTAATGGCAGTACTACTGGGTCTTTTCTCTGGCATTTTGGGCTTGATTGCCTTGTGAGTTTAGAGTGAGAAGGACCCTTAACACCTGCTGATGATGTCTTCTTCATCACTGCGGGAGGGAATGGAGACCGAGGCAGGTCGTGACTTAGACACAATCATGGGGGAACAGCCCCAGAACCTCAACAAAGCATGTTCCTGAGAACCCGAGTCTTTCTTTTAGGGGATCACTATGAAGTGAGAGATTTCAATTAAACATGTGTATAGTTAGGACTCCTCCCCCCCCCCCCCCCCAGAGATGGCTCAGTAGGTAAACGGTGTTGTCACCAAGCCTGATGACCTGAGTTCGGGTCTCAGAATGCCTCTCCCAAGAGCACTGATTTTTAGTGTGTTCACAAGATACTGCTACTGTTAGAATTCTCTTACTTAAGAATGTTTTCTTCACCGCTAAAAGAAACCTTGACCCACTAGCAGTCACCACCCATCCCTCCTTCCCTGCTCGCCTTCTGACCACCGTGAATCCTTTTTTCTGTTTCTGAAGATTTTCTTCTTTGGGAACATTTTATATAAATGGAATCATACAATATGTGGTCTATGCTGGCTGATTTTTTCCTCACCATTGTAATATCTTGGAGGTTTATTTGTGTTTTTAGCATGTGTCAATATTTCATTTCTTCATATAGTTAAGTAATGTTCCATTGAATGGATATACCACAGTTATTGATTCTTCATGTTTAGATTATTTCTACTCTTTGGTTATTAGGAAAGATGTTGCAAGTAATTATATATTTTGAGACAGGGTTTCTCTGTCTTTGTTTCTCTGTTTTTTCTGGCTTTGGGGCCTGTCTTGGAACTAGCTCTTGTAGACCAGGCTGGCCTCCAACTCACAGAGATCCGCCTGCCTCTGCCTTCCGAGTGCTGGGATTAAAGGCATGCACCACCACTGCCCGGCGCAAGTAACTATATCTTAATTAATCAAATATTTGCTAAGATCACATATTACACCCATTGCCTAGATGTTTTAGATTAACAAGAGTAATATTGTATTTTTAGCTTTCCAAAACTGATCTGAGGAGGGGGTAGGTCAAACATGTATGAACATCCACTCTGCTGTATCACTGGGGCACTGCCATTGGGACAGTTTGCTTTAGCCAGTGGTGGCCAAGCAGAGTGTGGAGGCAGGCCCTGAAGGATGAGTTTGTCAGGTAGGAGAAGGACACCCTGGGAAGACAGAATATACAAGAACATGGGGCCTTGGAGGGTAAGGAATTGGCTTGCCCTCCTGGAGAAGAGAAACTAGAAACGAAGCTGGGAATACATTTAATATCCATATTCCACAAAGCATCCGATAAAGAAACAATGGATGGTACTGGCTCCCCAAACCCGGTCTTTGGTGTAGACTCTCCTTTCTCCTACTAATCATGCTTCTTGCACGTGCTCTGTTGTAGTATGGAGCGGCGGGGCTGCGTCCCTGGCATGCGGCCGCCCGCATGGCTAGCTTTACCCGAAATAATTACACGGAAACTGTATTCTTTTAAACACTGCCTGACCCATTAGTTTCAGTTTCTTATTGGCTAGCTTTTACATATTGATCTAACCCATTTCTATTAATCTGTGTAGCCCAAGAGCTGGCTTACCAGGAATGATCTTAACCTGCGTCTGTCTGGAGTGGGAGAATCATGGCGACTCCCTGACTCAGCTTCTTTCTCCCAGCATTCCATTCTGTTTACTCCGCCTACCTAAGGGTTGGCCTATCAAATGGGTCTAGGCAGTTTCTTTATTAATAAGAAATCACTCCCACATCATTTCCCCTTTTTCTGTTTAAACAAAAAAGAAAGGCTTTAACTTTAACATAGTAAAATTACATATAGCAAAACAGTTATCAAGCAAGAATTACAGTTACAATATTTATATCTATTTTATCTTTTATCATAACAATGGAAAACTATAACTACCTATCCATTCTTCAACTCCATCAAAGACTCCAGAAGGATATAATACTACCTAAGTAAACAAGAAATAAGAAAACTCTAGAAATGACAGAGACATCTTGCTGCCTGGACAGTCACCCAAAGTTCTTTTGTACCGTTGGGGCATCCATCTTCAGCTTTCAGGCCCATGGTATCCAGCAGACATTTTCATCAAGCAGGAAATTCCAAAGACAGTTCAGTCACTTTTTGCTGTGTCCTGCAGAATGTCTCGCAGACTCTTTCATGAGTCATGAACCCCAAAAGACCGTCTCACCTTTAGGCAAGTTCAGTAGTCCTCTCTCTGTGGGTTTTCTGTGTCCATTTTATGCAACAGTCCAGGCAAGAGCAGTTTCTTGCCCAAATGGCTATCAAACTCCATAAGGATCCTCTTTGATGCCCATCTTCCTCTCGAAGTAGATTGGTGCTGCCAGGAGCAGACGTGTCTCATTGTCATGAAAAGTCCTAAGTTATTAAAATATTTTAAATGCCATATTCTGTAGCCTTTGAGAGATATGAAGAATGCCTATCTGAAATATATCTCTATATATCTAGAAAATCTAAGTAACATGACTACAAACTTGACTATTATGATTATCCATCAACAACCTATATTTCCTAATTATACATTACATTTTAAAAATGAACTACACAATCACACCTTATTCAAGATCAAAAATACATATACATATAACAAAATTGACCTTAAAATCCATACCAATGCAAATTATTTATACCTATATCATATCCCCCTTTAAATGTAAAAGAACATTTATAAACAATATTTTGGGAACATGGGCGCAGTTTTTTCTCTCCAAACTGCTTCCTGCTGAATGGGGGCGTCGTTAATTAGGTCTTTCATGGTATAACCTGTGTGCTAGTTTCATCTCAGTCTGCAGTTGAGCGAAGCAATTTTCTGAAGATGTTCACAACAACCTTTCAGGAGGGCGTGGTCTATCATACCAAATTGTAATAGAAGAAATCCACAGGGTCTGGTCCTCTGTGAAAACAAAAGAAGACCCTCTCCAAAGCATCATATTCTTAAACCCAAATTTTGAAATTGTAATACCTTTATATCCATTGTGGTTTAGCTTGGCAGCCCATGTAATGAAATGTCTGTCTGTACTTAGCTCCTTTACAGTCAAAAATTTTAAAGAAAACACAATGTACATAATCCAGACTCTCTGTGAATTTTTTATTTTTACGTGGCTTATTTTTCTTTATTTATTTTAATCTCTTAACTATCTGTACTCTGTCTCTTTAAAGACTTTACCCTTTTTTTTAAGACATTTACTTTATTTTCTATATTCTTATTCTTCTCTCTCTCAAGCCTATGTACATTTATCCAACACTGTGATCCACTGAGGTCTGTTATGTCTGAATCTGTTTTATTGTGAATCTGTAATATTTTTACTATCCAGGAGCATTTCTTAAAATGTTAAGCACTTCTTAAAAACTTAAGTTGCACCATGTACAGGTAATACGGTACCACCTGTGTCCTGCCCAGTCTAAACCTTAACTGTGCTGTTATTATGGTAATTATGGTAGTTCCTGCCAACCAGCACAGTTCAGCAAGGAGCAGCCGCTCCTGCCTCAGATCCATTTGGTGCCCCTGAGCTGTGCACAGTTTCAGGCACACAGCAAGTCCTCATTGGAGCTGCACTCAGTAGTTTAATTTTGAGACTGAGCATGCAGCACAGAAACTCTTTTTATCCAAGTTACAACCAAATCTGACACGCAGAGCACTGCGCAGTCTGAAAACACGTCTCTTTCACCATGCTCTTCCGCCTGCCTAAGCCTGATTCTGCCATCTGCCCAGGTGCAGGCAGGGAGCGCTGAGAGCACTCTCCTTCCGATCCCAAGCGGGAACACAAACATCCAGTCCCATAAAATCCATTGAAATGCTTTAAAGCCAGAGTTTGCACTGGCGGCACAGTCCCAAGAAGCCGCATTTTAAAATGACGCAGCTTTTTTTTCTGCTGCTGTTGCCGAATCAGGAAATCTCTCTACAGCACGCCACCAACAAACAGCAAAAATCTGTGTTAAAGTCTCTCTCCCTTATTTTTAAGCCTTCTCAGGTTTTTAAGTGGATTTAGTCCATCATGTCGGGCGCCACTCTGTTGTAGTATGGAGCGGCGGGGCTGCGTCCCTGGCATGCGGCCGCCCGCATGGCTAGCTTTACCCGAAATAATTACACGGAAACTGTATTCTTTTAAACACTGCCTGACCCATTAGTTTCAGTTTCTTATTGGCTAGCTTTTACATATTGATCTAACCCATTTCTATTAATCTGTGTAGCCCAAGAGCTGGCTTACCAGGAATGATCTTAACCTGCGTCTGTCTGGAGTGGGAGAATCATGGCGACTCCCTGACTCAGCTTCTTTCTCCCAGCATTCCATTCTGTTTACTCCGCCTACCTAAGGGTTGGCCTATCAAATGGGTCTAGGCAGTTTCTTTATTAATAAGAAATCACTCCCACATCAGTGCTCTTTTTTCTTTAGGTGACCAACACACAGATATTCCAGCTCCAGTTTCATTCTGGATTTATACCACTGGACACGACAGTTTTAAAGTTCACCAAGTAAGTGCCCTGTGGACCTGCCGTCTTCATCAGCATAGCAGCATGCGGCCACCTCCAAAGTCCCACACTGCGGGACTGTTGAGCACAGACAGGCTGCAAGCATTTGAAATCTTTTGGTTGAGTGTAGTTGATCTTAAGCAGTGCGTATGGGGTGGGGGAGGGGGGCTAGGGAGATGGCTTAGTGGTTAAGAGCCCTGGCTGCTTTTCCAGAGGTCCTGAGTTCAATTCCCAGCAAGCACATGGTAGCTCACAACCATCTATAGTGGGATCTGACGCTCTCTTCTGGTATAAAGGCATACATGCAGATAGAGCACTCATATATATAAAGTAAATAAATCTTTTTTTTTTTTTTTAAAGAAATGTATATGGATCACAGAGTTAATTAGAAAGACTTAAAGTTCCCTGTTAGGGAACAACGATTTCTATCCTTTGTGTTTGTGGATGCTTATGCCCAACAGGAATGGCAGTTTAATTTATAGAATAGCATAGACAGTGGTCCCTTATCAGGGGTGTCTGGCTAGAGCAATGTAAAAGAGGTTTTGGGAAACCCAGCTGTACCAAATATTGACCTGCGGTTGCTATAACATAATGTGGCTATGGATCTCAGGGTGTGACTGAATCTGGGGTGGTGGGGTTTGCCGGAGTCAGGAGACAGGGAGCTAAGAAGGATTCAAGGGTCCAGGCTGAGAAGGTGACTTTGGGTCCATCTCATTATTTTGAAGACCCGTTTAGCTGGCCAGTGCGTGCCGGCCAGATGTCTCAACCCTGCTTCTCACAGTGCTTTCATTAGTGTGCTTGGTAACAGCCAGACAATTTGGGCAAGTGTTAGTCTGTTTTTTCTGGAGAGGAAACTGAGGCATAGCAGAGTAAAGGAACACCTGGTTAGTGGCTGAGTCTACCTAGAAATGAGTTTCAGGCTGGACTCATCCGCGTGGGCCGAGCCTCGTGCTGAGCATCCTGCTGATGGCACTGCGCATGCTGTGTTTTTCTTTCCATTAGACCCGAGTTGGACGCATGTGATGTACCAGAAAAATATCCTCAGCTGTTCCAAGTGACACTGGATATAGAAGTGCAGCCCCAAGACAAAGTGATCGACTTGACTCCCCCATGGGAGCACTACTGCTCAAAAGATGTGAACCCCAGCATCCTCTTTTCCTCTCAGCAGGAGCATCAAGACACTCTGGCCTTAGGAGGTATGAGTCACGGCTGGTTTGGGTTTTCCGGATGAAGCCTCTGGGTTGCTTACTGCGTTACTTTGTTCCCTAAGTTAAGGTGACGCTGTGTGACCTTTTGTCTTGCAGGTCAGGCTACAGCAGATCTCCCTCCAGACCATCCCAGGAATGTCGGGCAAGGTGGCTTCTTTGCCTCCCTCTGTTGGCAAGGTATGGTAAAGCCTCTAAGTTAGGATGACTGGGTGATTATGTGACTAAGTTGTCTGGTGGTTTTATTAAGACACTTCTTGAAGCAATCTTAATTTCTCCCTTATTTCAGACCTTTCCCTTCATTTGTTTTTCCAATCAGGCGTCTTGTCTGCTTTCACGTCCATGAGTGTTCAGACGAACCAGAAAGCCAGTGTAGACTAAATTCTACCTCCTGGGTTTGCAGTGTTTCCAAGGCACATTTTCCAAGACTGATGAAGTGTGACATGTTCTAAGATCGCTCCTTAGGCATTTGACAACTCAGAAAGACAACAAAGAGTTGCCTGCCTTCAGGCAAATATTCTAAAGAGATAAAGTTGAGTGCTGTCTCAAGCACCGCACCTCTAGCAAGGCAGGATGGGTCTTGCCCTGGCATGGTGAAGGCGGTCACCTGGCCCGTATCTCAGCTAGTTGCTTTAGCAATCATTAATCCAAACAGGAATCTCCCACTGTGCTGTTTTGTCCCCACAGCTGGTGACATTTCCAGGCCCCTTCACAGCCTAGCACTTTACATTACTGTCTTGAGGAGACAGCCATGGGCATTCTAGTGTGTACACTGGCCATTCTTGCTTTGCAGTTTGCAGAGGTTAGCTACAAAGTGTGGTACAGAACCAATCGGTCAAGACTATGTGGGAAAGGGGTGGGGATTCAGCTTCAGAGGTGGCCTAGGCAACGTTTTCTTGATTGACCTTCCTCTGATGTGTGAACGTAGCAGAGTATTCCTACATCCTGTAGACGTTTTCAGTGTTAGTTAAAACATATTCATCTGGGTCCTTTGGGTTAAAGGTTAGCTTACGGAATTTCCTTTTGAACAAGGCAAGGAGAGCTTCTCAGACTTGGAAGCCCAGCCGAACCTGACTTGAAGATGGATTGTCAGCCCCTTCTTGGTCCTTATCTTGCATCTTTCTCCCAGTAACCGCTTCCAATAAAACATTACTCTCACCTTCCCATTGCCATGTTAATATGTAGAAATAATTTCTGCACACGTCAGGAGAGATGACGTAGTGGTTAAGATCACCTGATGTTTCTGCAGAGGACCCTCTGTCACTCCAATTGCAGGAGATCTGAGGTCCTCTTCTTGCCTCCGGAGGCACACACGTGGTACACAGACATATAGACAGGCACTCACACGTAAAATATTTATTTTTAAAAAGAATCTCTGTTCTTAGCACAGGTACACTCTCTTATCTGCTTGGGGCTTTTACGTTTTGAAAAGGTATATTAAACATGCTATGTAACATTGCCGGTGGCATCTCAGATGACAATCTGCAATCAAACATGAATGTTTCTGCAGTGGGACATAAAAGTAAATAGAAACTTGTGTGAGGCAGCAGAAGCCTGCAGGTAGCTTCATATACCCATTCCGAGCATGCTCTTCTACTGAGCTCACACCACCAAACTTAGAACAACCTAGCTCTTCCCACAGATGTGCATGTTTCAGAGTTGGGGTTCACAAGTGTGAACCAGCCCCCCCCCCCATTCAGATTGTGGGTCTGTCTGGTGTGAGATAACCAAGTGGTATCTATGGAAGATGGTCTCGAGCAGGGCCCGGAAAGGCGCAGAGAAGCCTTCCATTTCTCCCCAGCAGAAACATCTCTTTCCTAAGCCGGTTTTGTGGGGAAATATCTCCTTGCAGGATGGAGGGAGGACGGTGAGGCCAAGCCCTAGAATTTGCTTCTTAGGGTGTGTTGCTTCTGCTTCAGGTCGTGTGGAGAAACAGAGGGCAGAGAGGGGTGTCCGCAAAGGACTAGGTGTTACTGGCATTTTCTGTAGTACCCCATGTAGTGTCCGGAAATCCACTTGCTGTTGATCTGAGTTCTTTTTGTTATCTTCTGGTGTAATTCTTACAGTGGCCTGTGCAGTGTGTAGTATTTATTATCCCTGTCTTGCTGAGGAGGAAACCAAGACACAGAGAAGTAAAGTTACTTGCTCAATGTTACAGGGCCAGTGAGGGGTGGAGCTGGGTTCCATCCTAGGCCGGCCGGATCCAGAGTTTTCCCTCTTAGTCCTTATGTTATATTGCCTTGCAGATGGCGGACAAACAGCTGAGAATGACCTGAAATTAAACAGTCATTGCATTGGGAGGGGTCTAAAAGCATTGTTTGCTCAGAGCTGGTCCATCTTCTCTTTCTGGAACAATGTGCAAACCTCGCCTGCAGTCGGTCATCCAATCATTTATATCTGCACATTGGCCTTTCTTAGATCAGAAATCAGAAAAGTCGTTCTGCGAGGAGGACCACGCTGCCCTGGTGAATCAGGAAAGTGAGCAGTCGGATGATGAACTCCTGACCCTCTCGAGCCCCCACGGCAACGCCAATGGAGACAAGCCTCACGGAGCCAAGAAGCCCAGCAAGGAGCAGGAGCCAGCAGCCCCTCCTCCCCCGGAAGAGGTGGACCTCCTGGGCCTGGAAGGGTCCGAAGTGAGCAGGAACTTCTCCCCGCTGGCAGCGCCTCCCAGCAATTCCGAACTGCTGAGTGACCTGTTTGGGGGTGGAGGTGCCACAGGTCCTGCCCAGGCAGGGCAGGCTGGGGTAGAAGATGTCTTTCATTCTAGTGGACCCGCGTCAGCGCAATCCACACCACGCCGCGCCGCCACCTCCGCCTCTGCGTCACCAACCCTAAGAGTGGGAGAAGGTAATTTCCCCATATTTCTCTGTTATCCCAGACTTCGGAAATAACTTTTGGGAGGGCCAAGCACATAGAACTGAAATGTTTTAGTAAGCTGAACTTTCCCGGTTTCTTTGAAAGTTCCTTGGGAGAGCATACGGAAAATACAAAAATTGTCCATTTTGGTAGAAGGGTGTAGGGATATATTTGTACCCCATACTCTTTTTTTTTATTTCCATTTTTTTTTTATTTTTTGAGAACTTCGTACATGGGTACTATATTTGCATCATTTTCCCCTTTCCCCTCCCTCTTCCATCTCCTCCCATACCCCCTCTCAAAATCATAATTTCTCCTTTCTTAATTATTATTGCTACATCAGTGTCAACCTACTGAGCCCTTTAAGAGTTGCTCATATATGCTTAGGACTGATGTACTGAAATTGGCTAACCTCTCAGGGAGGTCATCCCTGGGAGAAAAATATTCTCCCTAGCTCCACAGCCATTGATTTTCTGTAGCTCTCCGCCTGCCTAGGGGTGGAGCCTTGTAAAATTTCCTCTGTCTGTGCCGCGTGTCCCCTGGTGCTGTCACTGCACAGGTCTTGTTTAACCAGCCGTATTGTTGAGACGTCGCCGGTGCGGCTTTCCTGAAACATCCAGAAGACACTGTCTCGCAGCAGGCATCCCGATCCTCTGGCTTAACTCCAACCCCTTAATTTCCTTTTCTCCAGACTTGAGCCTTGAGTCTCCTTTAGTTACTTCTGCTTGGAGATGGAGATGGATGAGCTGTTATTTACTACAGCAGCTGATAGTTGTGTGATACTCGCCGCTTGCCAGATATAGAATACACGATTAAACACGACTCCGTTCTTATAAAAACCTGTAGACAGATGCTATCATTGTCTCTACTTCGTAGTTGAGGAAATAGAAGCTTCCAGTGTAATTATCAGCATTTGTTCAAACAGCTGGGAATTGATGGGGCTGGGGTCCCAGCTTCACCTGTGGACTCGGAGCTCGCCCTCAGGCCTCCAGTAACACTTTTTGGAATTCTAGTTTTCTGGATATACCCCGGCTGTCCTGAGAAGTGTTTGGTTACATCAGGATATGCTTGAGGGGCTCAGGCTAGCAGCATGGCTGGGGAGAGAAGTGTGGCTGATCTTCGTAAGGAGTCTGAGCTTACATACTCAGTTTCACCTGACACACCACCGCAGACTTCCTTTTCCGGGCCAGCCACAGCATGAACATTTGCAAGAGGATGTAGCTGGGTACCAGAGATTCATTACGACTTCAGAATAACCAGCACACACCAGCTCCCCATGACTGTCACGGTTAAGATGATGCTTCATTAGGAAGGGTAAAGAGATGAGTCGTAACCACCTAGGCTTGGGGAATGCTATCCTTCACCCTTTTTGGGCTCTGGGCTGGTCTTGGCTTGTGAAGTTCTGCTGGATGCCACCTTTGTGAGAAGGGGAACAGATTACAGAGCTCAGGTGCAGAGTTCCCATTGGTGGTGGCTGGGTGGGAACCTGGGCAATGGTAGCGCACACATTTAATCCCAGCACTCAGGAGGCAGAGGCAGGCTGATTTCTGTGAATTCAAGGCCAGCCTGGTCTACAAAATGAGTTCCAGGACAGCTTGGCTGTTACATAGAGAAATGCTATCTTGAGACATCGCCCCCCTCAAAAAAAAAATTAATTTGGTCATTTGTGTGGCATATGCTTTTACCACAGCATTTAGGAGTCAGAGGCAGGTGGTTCTTCATCAGTTTCAGGCCAGCCTGGGCTACACAGGGAGTTCCAAGCCAGCCAGGACTACATAGTAAGACCCTGTCTCAAAAAACAAAACAAAACAGTGAAAACCCTCTTACTTTGCTTAGTTGGGGACAGTACCCATGGGCATAAAGGTAAAGACTAACTCTTGAGTTTTCAGCACCTTTCATCTTTGGTTCTGAGAATTTCTAGAATAAGGTGATATGAAAAGTGCTTCGACAATCTAAGAAGTCTTTCCTATCTTCTCCACTGGTTAGCATCAACTATAATCTGATGGGCTGACCCGTTGTTCTCTTCCGGTCACCCTGCTAACCCCAGTGTTCTTGTGTCAGAGAGCATGTGCGCCTTGGGCTACACTGTCTGAAACGGTGCAGGTACTGCCACAAGAAGCTGACCTGCTGCCCCACGGTGTTGGGGGCACATTATGCCAGTGACGTCATAACTGTGAACTTGTGAGCCACATGCCCCACTATGTCGTGACAGTGGGAAGTGTTTGTTCGCTGGTTTGGTCCTCAGGTTCTATTTCTAGAATGGGTCAGCCCCGCCCCGCTCCACGAAGCAGGCTGTCATGGGCTTGGCGCCTACCGATTTGGAAGTGACATCTCACTTTAGGTAGCCCAAGGAGGTTTTGGTCCTTGCTCAACAGTGAGAAATCAGAGGGCAGCTGTCTCCATGCAGCTCAGTGTTTGGTAGGCATCCTGTTCATTTCATGACGAAGGCTTGTGGGGATTACCTGGAGCCGGAAGATTTGAATGGGGGTCTAGAATAGTGTTTCCTGGACTTGAACAAGGGCAAGTTTCTGATCCTCAGTTTCACAAGGGTTGAGTGAAGGTGACAGGGAGAAATTGAGCCCCACCCCTTCAGGTCTTCCCCGGAACACAGTAGAGCCCTAGGAAGCTTCACTATTGCTGGCAACCAGGGCCTTCAACACTCCTAGTTTCCACCCAGCTTTCTCTAGCTCCTAGCAGGCTGTTGAGTCAGTGTTTTCGAAATGCTTGATCCTGTGGACTCAAGAGAATGCAGCTTCACCCTCATTTTATTCTGTTTTTAGCTTTTAAGTGAGCTGAAGGTCACTTAGGGAGAAAGTTAAAGAAAGACCTACTTAGTGGGGTTGGCCTTTTCTTTTGGCGTGGCTCTTACGTAACTCAGGCTGAGTTTGAACTCACTGTGTAACCCAAGATGACCTTGAACTTCTGATCCTCCCACTTCCGCCTTCTAAACGCTGGGATTACAGGCCTGTACCATCTTGCCTAGTCTTTTGTGGTTCTGGGGATCAAACGCAAGGCTTCACGTATGGTAGGCAAGCACTCTACCAACTGAGCTATAGTCCTAGTCCAGTCAGTGGGGTTTCTGCTATTTGCCTTTATAGCAGTGCCCCCTGCTTGTTTTCTCCCATTAATTCCTTTTACATGAACACTCATTTGTCACCAAACTTCTGTAGCCTGTACCTAGTTTGGGCAGTTCATGGATTCATGTGTGTTGATCTTGTCTTCTAGCTAGTCTGTAGCTATGATTTGCTGCTCTTATGTTATCAAAATCTGTCTTGAGGAGATGACTAATTGAGCAAAACAGAACCTGCGTATGAACCCCCAGAACCCACATAAAAGCTGGGCATGTTGTATGAACATCTGTAATCCCAGCACTTCTGCAAGGGGATGGGAAGTAAAGGAAGACAACCCCAGAAGCTCCAGGCGGGCTAGCCTGATGAATGCAGCAGGAAAACAAGACAGTCTCAAGCAAGGCAGAGGATGAGGACAGATACCTGCTCTGTGGTGTCCTGTATACACACACACACACACACACACACACACACACACACGTATACACATACATGCATGTGTACACACAGGATTTATAAAAGTTACTTGGATCCTCATTTCTAATAAATAAGTCCAGTCTCTTCCATCTACATGGGTGGGACGGTTCTTGTCGTGTTGTGATCCACTGTTAGTTCTGGAGGAAGTTCTAAGTCTAGGAAGGGGTGAGAGGTCAGGAGGCAAGCTTCAGCCTGGTCTTTCAAGTGTTTGACAAGGCAGCAGCGGCAGCCCTTCGGTAGCTATACAGCAATGAACTGGCAGGATAAAGAAATATGTTTTCCCTTTGTTTTCTAGGTACCACCTTTGACCCTTTTGGAGCTCCTGCTAAGCCACCAGGTCAGGATTTGCTGGGCTCCTTTCTGAACACATCCAATGCTTCTAGCGACCCTTTTCTGCAGCCCACCAGAAGTCCTTCCCCTACAGTGCATGGTAGGAAAGTGTTTTCTATGGCACTTAATGGAATAATGGAGTGGTTTTTCATAAGACAACGCAGAGTACTGAGATGTAAATGCATCTTTGTATGTGTGTGTGTGTGTGTGTGTGTGTGTGTGTGTGTAAAGCCTTTAGAAACTGACAATTTATTAACATATTTAAAAACTCTTACCGGAAAGAGACTCATTTAACATTTAACTTGGTTTCACTATGGTCCCGAAAGCACTGGGCTGTGGGTTTCTGCTTATTTTTACTCTAGCGCTGCACACCCAAAAGCAGAGGGCACCATTGATTATAACATATGTTATCACTCTGTGTACCAGTAAAAAAGAAAAAAATGCTCCCACTTCAAATCATTGGGAAGCTATGTCCTAGTTACAGAGATCTTTGAAATGTAAGAAAGTCGGCTTCTTAAGTTAGTAAAATATGATGTTAGCATTGCATAAAGTTATCAGTTGTCAGAGCAGAGTTTGGGACACGCCACATGGATGTATGGGGACACGTCTGTCTAATGTGACAGCTGCTAGCTGTGCGTGGCTACAGAGCACTCGAAACATGGTTACTCTGACTTGAAATGTGCTCCACGCATAAAACAAACACAAATCCCGAAGTTTACTGCACAATCAAAGAATACAAGCCATCTTAATATTTTTATAGCAGTCACTCATTAGCATATCATCTGGGCTATCTACTCAATAACTTAACATCGTATTTTGCTGATTTAAGAATCCTATTTTTCCACATTTCAGATTCAGGGGTGATGATTAATGTTATCACTGTTTTCTCTTTTACATGTAATCCAGGCCACCTATGAGTTTATAATGGCTTCTTATTTCACCCAACATAAGAGCCAGCATTGTGTGCCCTGGTCATGGCCTGTGTAAACCCTATTTACTGTACCATCCTCATGCCTGGGACCTCATTTCCCAGTTTTCGTCTGTACTATCTTTATTCCAGCACTTTGGGGGCTCTCTCTCTCTCTCCCTCTCCCCCTCCCTCTCCCTCTCCCTCCCTCATTTTTATCCTGATGGATACAAGACAAACATAAAATGTTAAGAAAACCAGACAGCAAATATTGACAAAGCTGTCTACTTTTGACCTTTTCTCGTGGGTTGCTATGGAGCCGGAGCAAGGGAAAGCAGAAAGGAAAGAGCCGCCGTCACTGATAATGGTGTGTGCTTTTTAATTAATGACCTGATAGAAAGGCACGTGAGCTATTGACAGTAGATGACTGTGAAGCCTGGATGCTCACCCTGGTGCCTTGGGTCCTTTGTCTGTGTGTGTGATGTGTGTAGTGGGATGTGTGTGTCTGTGTATGTAGTGTGATGTGTGGAGTGTGTGTGGTATGATGTGTGTGTCTGTATACAGTGTGGTGTATGTGTAGTATGTATGCATGTGTGTGTGGTATGATGTGTGTGTCTGTATACAGTGTGGTGTATGTGTAGTATGCATGCATGTGTGTGTCTGTATACCGCGTGGTGTATGTGTAGTATGTATGCATGCATGTGTGTGTGTGTGGTATGAAGTGTGTGTTTATATGTAGTATGGAGTATGTATAGTATGTATGTAGTGTGGTGTGATGTGTGTGGTATGTGTGTGGTGTGTAGTATGTGTGTCTGTATATGTAGTGTGATGAGTGTAGTGTATGTGTGTTTGTGATGTGATGTGTTTGTCTGTCTGTATGTAGTATGGCGTGGTGTGTGGGTGTGTGTGTGTTTCCAGTCCCACTTGTAATGCTAGTTTAGTGACTGAGGTCTACCTGCCGATGTTTATGGCCAGGTTGTAGGGAGGACCCTTTCATGTCACAACACATTTTATCTCAGCTCTGCTCAGAACTTCTTAGAGGTCAGAATGATCTCTCTTGAAGCTCTAATGGGTTTCTTTTTGAGTGACAGTAGACAAGTGTCTGCCACCAGCATAGTGGGAGATACATTGTGTTTGCCCAGTTAGTGTTCAGAATGCTCCTCCTTCTCAATCCCTGCCACAGCCAAGGAGAAACCAAGTTCCCAGTTCTGAGCAGCCCATACTTGGGTGCCCTTGTCAAGGCTAAGCTAAGCTGGGCTGAGTTTAAGGATATTTTCCCTCTTTCTGCATGGCCCAGAATGTTAAGTATATTAGTGGGGTGCACAAAGATGAATAAGACAGTTCTTGCATTCAAGGAACTCAGCATTAAATGAGGACAGACATGCACACTTATAATTCCTAGTGGGTGGATATGGAGGTAACACAAAGGTGAGCCAAAGAACGAACTGAGAAAACCTAGGGTTTCTACCCAGCTCTCATGAGCATGCGCAGATGAAAGCAGAACATATTCCTGTTGCAGAGTGGGTAGGAGGATTGAATCCATTAGACTTTGAGAAGCCATGCAGACTGGAGAAGACAGCTTTGTCCTGTGCCAACTCAGACAGGTGGGCTCCCAGCCGTCCTGTTCTCATTCATCTTCTCTCTATTTACAGCTTCGAGCACACCTGCTGTGAACATCCAGCCAGATGTTGCTGGAGGTTGGGACTGGCATACCAAACCAGGTAAGGGCCAGCAGGTTATTTTTGTACACAAGTGACCAGTAGCAAATGCATAGTCCTTCACCCAAGATGAGGTGGATACTTGGAATATTATAGTCTGCTGTGTAGTTGATTATTCCTAATGATCTATATTCTAGCCAGCACTTTTTCCAATGCACTTGATGACATAATATATATTATATGAATTATATATTATATTTTTATAAATAGATATTATATATACTACATATAGTTATATATATTTAACTTGTAAAAGTAAACTGCAATAAGTCTTGTAAATAAATAATTTACAATATAATATATATACAATATATTATAAAGATATATATCTATGGTTTGACTTTACAAGATCATCTATTTTATATCTGTCTCAACTATATAATTAGATGGATCTGAATTAGTCCTACCACTTAGAATCTCCTGGGTTTTTTTTTCTTCAAATACTTAGTTTTTGACAAATGTCAATCCTGACAGATCTTAGGTAATATCTCATTGCTTCCATGATTCACATTTCCCCTAATAATCAGTGACGGTGGTGATTTGAATAAGAATGACCTCTGCAGGCTTCTCTATTTGAGTAGTTGGTCCCAGTTGGCAGAACTGTTTGAGAAGGGGGTGGTGTGTCACTGGGAGTGGGCTTGAAGTTTCCAAATGTTACCCCATTCCCAGTTAGCTCTCTGTGCCCCGTGCTTGTGGATAATATGTAAGCGCTCGGGTACTGCTTTAGCACTGTGGCTGCCTGCTGCATGCTCCCCACAGTGATGTCCGTGGACTCTAACCCTCTGGAACTGTGAGCCCCAGTAAACTTTTTCTATCCTAAGTTGCGTTGGTCCTGGTGTCCCATCACAGCAATAGAAAAGTAACTAAGACCAGCAATGTTGAGAATCTTTTTATGTGTTCTGGTCATTTGCAAGTCTTTTTTGGCGAGAAGTCCTTGGCTTATTTTTAAATCAAGTTATTGTCAATTTATAACTAAGTTGTTTTATATACACACACACACACACATATATATCAAGCTCCTTATCAGAATAATGGTTGGCAAATATTGTCCCCCCATCGTATACTTTACTTGTTTCTTTGTTGTCACACGGGTTTTTCTAGTTCAGTTTGTCTACTTTTTGCTTCTATTGCCTGTGACTTTGAATTGTTTTTTTGACACTGTCTGCTCTTGCAGTGGACCTCGATTAGATTCCTTGCACCCACATGGTGGCTCATAACTGTTTGTAATTCTAGTTCCAGGGGACTGATGGTCTCTGTGGTATTGCAGACACATGGTGCACAGACTTATTTACAGGCCAAACATCCACACACATAATATAAGATACTCATAAAAAAATTTTAAGTTAAAAATCTTACAGTTGGAAGATGATAAGCAAGATCCCAGGGCGGCTGGGGTAGTTCAGATAAAGTCTGACTCCTGATCTCTGAAGAGAGAGAAAGTCAGGAAATAACATGCATGGCCAAAGAAAGGCAGATGCCTGACCCATGTCTTACCCTCGCTTTGGGTCACCACTCACCTCAATCAGAGTAACAGCATCTTGGGACCTCGCACACATTTTTATGCTCCATCCAAATTTGTCTTAGGGTTAGCTGAGCAGGTGCTTTGAAACCCCAACTCTCAGCATCCTGCCTCGGGGAGCTAACTCATTTTCAATGGGTTCCATTCCTTTCCAGGGGGTTTTGGAATGGGAAGCAAATCAGCCGCCACCAGCCCAACAGGCTCATCACATGGCACCCCTACCCATCAGAGCAAGCCACAGACTCTGGATCCCTTCGCTGACCTAGGGACACTAGGTATGAACTTATGAGATTAAGATCTGAGTAATATTTGATGCTAATGTCAACCGTGGCAGGGACAGCACCACAGCGCCACACTGTTCCTATAGCAGTGCGAGACTTCCCTTAACCATTACGGGACTTTATTTCAGGTAAAACTGGATCCTTGGCCTCAGTGCGAAGCAGAATTGGAGGCTAAGCATCAGTGTTAAGAGAGAGGGAGGCACCGAAGACGAGATGAAGATGCGCTTGAGGGCATGGGTGTGGGCGTCTCAACGTAGAGCCACATCTGTCTTAGCATTAGCCATATAGACTGTTTGGCTTTCTTTCACATTCTGTCTCAAAGAGTTGCTAGAAGCTTTTTTGCCTCCTTTTCAATTAATGAGGTTATAGAGCGGCTCAAGAGGTGCCTTGGATGGGATTAGAACTTGATACAAACAACAACACAACAACAACAACAACAGGAGCCACTAGTGCTGTGCAAGGGGTTTAGGGCACACACTTTCATTGTAAAGGAGATTTTTTTCTGGTGAGATTTATAGAAAAGTGAAGGTTTACCACTGGGAAGAGAGAAAGGCTTTGAATCAATATTATGTTAGAATTCTTCATTCTCAGCCCCAAACAAGCCAAATATAAAAGCAGTGGATGGAAATAAATGATTAAGATTGGGGCATAAAGTAATGAAAATAGAAGTGAACAAAGTAATACAAGAAATGAATCAATGAAGTGAAGAATTGGTCAATAAGTAGGGTAGACCTTCACCAAACTAGAGAAAGAGAAGACTCATATTGGTAAAATTAGAGATGAAAAGGGAGAAATTATAACAGATATCAGTGAAATTCATAAATTCGTTAGGACATACTTTAAAAACATGGATTCCACTAAATTGGAAACCCTAAAAGAAATGGTTGTATTTCTGGATGATTTGACCTAACAAAGTTAAGTAAAGATGAAAAACAATTCAATCAGCTCTCTAACAAGCAAGGAAATTGAAGCAGTAATCCAAAAACAAACAAACAAAGAATCTGCAACTGAAAAAACTCAGGCCCAGATGTGTTCATGGCAAAATTATATCATTATACCATCATATCATTGCAGAGTAAGTGGCACCAACCCTGTAGGACAAAAGGGCCAGCCAAAGAAACCTATCATGATCATGAAACCAGAGCCAATGAAAGAAACATATTTTGGCCCTGAAATCAGAGCCAAATTTGCTCCTGACCAATTGAGCATGAAGCCAACCAATCCCTGAGTAGGAAAACCAACTAACCCATGAGCAAGAAATCTAGCCAATCTAGCTTGTCCAAACTCAAAAAGGTTGAAATCTGACCAGTTCCCTCCCTGAAAATCTTCTCCTTGGAAAAATTCCACCCCTAAGAAGCCCTCTATAAGTCCTGTGCCTGTTCAGTTGACAACTACCCTTCTCTACCCTGGAAGAGGCAGCCACTCTCCTGGATTCCTCCCTCTCAAATAAATCTCCTGAAAGAGTTTTGGGTGAAGACCTTATTTTGCCCAGAGCAGATCAGAATCTCTGCTGGGAAACTCTCTTAGCAGAGTGGGACAGAGCTCAGCTGTAGTGACTCTCTCAGAGAGGAGGAGGATTGCCACATCCTGTGGGGAGACCATCTCCCACAATAACCCAGCTTTAGGTATAGCCTGACTTCCTGACGAGTCAGGATACCTTTCCCTTTAGATCTCTAGCACCTGCGGGGAGAATCTGACTTCTGATAGCGTACCTTTCTCTCCAGAGCTGTAACACCTGCAAACTCTGCTCAGAGCTTTCTATAAAATTAAAAGAAAGGTGCACACCCAGGAACCAATTTTATCCTGTTACCTAAATCAGATAAAAACACAAGAACAACAGTAAAAGAAAATTATGGGTCAATCTCCCTGATGAAGTTAGATGAAAAAAATTCTTAGTAAAATATTTGGAAACTGAATTTATATAAAAACGATCATTCACAGTGATCAATTTAACTTCATTCTAGAAATGCAAGGATGGTTCAACATATGTAAGTCAATAAATATAATGCTTCACATAAATGAACTCAATGACAGATTCTTGATACAATTCAACATCCTTTGATGATATAGTGTTTGAAGAACTAAGAAGGGAGGGAAATCATATCTTTGTTTTTTTTTGTTTGTTTGTTTGTTTTTGTTGTTGTTTTGTTTTGTTTTTTCGAGACAGGGTTTCTCTGTGGCTTTGGAGCCTGTCCTGGAACTAGTTCTGTAGACCAGGCTGGTCTTGAACTCACAGAGATCCGCCTGCCTCTGCCTCCCGAGTGCTGGGATTAAAGGCGTGCGCCACCATCGCCCGGCGGGAAATCATATCTTAACATAGTCTATATGACAAACCTGTAGCCAGTACTAAAAAGAGCAAAAACTCAAAGCATTCCTCCTAAGACCAAAAATAAGACAAAGATGTCCATCAGAGGGGAGGGAATAGCTAAGATGACTTTTTGTCAGATGGCCTGGGCTCTGTGGAGATAGGGGTGGGAGAAGTGGGGTTGGGAAGGTAAGGCCCACCCAAGAAAGACTTCAGAACTGTTTTACTGTACTTTCTGTGCAAATCCAGGAAGCAGTTAGTTTTGTCTTTTAGGAAGACAGTCTGAATTCAGTAATGGTGGAAACCACTTGCCATTTCATAGAGGTAACAAATAGAAGTGGGTGGCGGGTCAAAAGAGAAGATGAAAGATGGGGGATTTTTAATCCTCTCAGACTTGCTAGGAGGTCCTAGAGAGAGACCACCTCCATTTTCAACCAATAAGCTTCAGTTTCCTCATCTGCTGGGTATTTGTGATTACGTGCCCTCTGCTAAGCACTCTGGATGCAATGCTGACTGGCGGCAGACAGCATTCCTTCCCAGGGGACCCTACGGCATGTTAGGAGAGAGAAACGTTAATCAGAGATAGAATATCCACTGTGATGCTGGGTGGTGGTGGCGCACACCTTTAATCCCAGCACTTGGGAGGCAGAGACAGGCGGATCTCTGTGAGTTCGAGACCAGCCTGGTCTACAAGAGCTAGTTCCAGGACAGGCTCCAAAACCACAGAGAAACCCTGTCTCGAGAAAAAAAAAAGAATATCCACTGTGTAGGTGCTATGCTAGGTGAGACATTGAATGAGAGGTTTCCTAGATGATTGTGATGCACAGCCAAGGTTGAAAACTGTGCCTTCTTCAGCTCTTGTGGGATGGCTGTGATCTGGGCCTAGCAACTATGCTGTCTTTTGGGCAGCTCACTGCTTCGATAGCATCAGTATATAGAATTGTTGTTGCATGTAAACATGACTTACTTTGCCAAGTTAGATGTTACAAAGCCACACAGGCCCCAGGAGAGCGATATCAGCACCCACCACTTCATTTCTGGGTCCACAGCCTGGTGTGTAGAAGATGCTCAAAGTGGTTCCTAAATGAACGGACAAGTGATGGCTGTAGTGGGAATTTGGAAGATGCCTTTGGTTCATGGGTGTTTTTCCCCCTATGTGTAGGAGATACATCAAATGTTAAAATGATGAACAGATGTATTTAGAATCAAGTGAGCATTCTTAAAATATAAAATGAAGCCACGATACAGAATGAATGCCTAACCTTATGTTGATGTGCTAGGGACAAAAGGGTCCAGGGGGCCCCTGAAGAGGGCTTCTTGTTGTATGTTGTCAAATGACAGCAGCAAGCAGAACTTGCTGGTGTTGGCTGCATTCCTGGTGAGGCAGGAGGATGGTGGCCAGCCTGGCATACATAGGGAGTTTTAGACCATGTAGGTTACGTAGTAAGACCTTGCCTCAGAAAGTGGGGATGGTGACAGGAAATGACAGGGACAGTGATATGATAGCGTGACAGCCTGCAGGGATGGCAGACAAATATTGTGTTCTATGACCAAATGCTTATTGAGTCCCTTACAGTGTGTCACACATGTTATTGGCCCTGTTTTGTGACGTGTAGTGTACCTGAGTTTACTTAATTCAGGGACCATGAAGCCCTCCTTGAACTGGTTGTTTGTTTATGCTGTACCTCTGATAAAGACGTAGTCATTTCGTAGATGAGAAAATGGAAGCTCACAGAAATAAAAAGAAATTCATTTAGCTTTAGAAAAGCAGAGAGCCTTGTTTGTGGATAGCGCCAGTTCCCAACAGTACCTGGCACGTGGCAGCCATCCAACAACCGCTGGTGGGTGACTTCGGAGTACATGCGTCCGAGAGTGGATGGGACACCAGTGCCACCGCCGGACTCCAACAGATTGACTCAAAGTTCAGTAGCTATAACACAGCATCCTAGTGTGAAAGGGAAGAGCAGTTTCAGGGTCCAGATGAAAGGACGTAGCTGTAGAAGAGAGACAAAGTAAGGGGTGAGTTTAGTAGCAGCTCAGAGCCTTGGGAGGATCTTGAGACTCTGGGTGCAGAGGTGCAGAGGTAAGATGCCCGCAGTCAGGGCATTCCGTTAACCAGCTGTGTGATCGCGAGCTTGCCCACGAACCTTGGCTTTGAGTCCCTTTTCTTTGAACCCATCCAGGGATACGTCTGGCTGACACTTGCTGTGCTCTGAAGCGCTCTGTGAGTGTTGGTTGTTTTAGTATCATCACGATTTTGGCTCTTTGAAGGATCAGTGGAGATCATGACATTTCAGGTTCTCATTTGACCTCCACAAATGCCAGCCCTCCTGTAAAGGAAGGCAAGCAGTGTAAAATTGGAACCTAGCTGTAAATTTTTAAAACATCTATAGTTGCTCTTGTGTCCTAACCCGGCTTTTCCTTCTAGCAAACAGTAATCCTAATAATTGACATTTAAGCAGAACCTTAAAGAGGCCGTTTGTTTTATCCCGTGTGCTTGTCACTTGGTAGTTTTGACTCTAGTAAAGAAATAAAACTTGCTTAGAGCAGGGCAGGCTGGGCAGGGTGACACAGTCTGGTTTGTACTCAGTGGTCTATTTCGAGTGTTCTGCTGTATGCTGGCTGTTATAGAAAAAGTCCACTAAAGGTCTCCTGGTTGCTTTTTGTTCATGCGAAGAAATGAACGAGGCAAGGATACTACCTAAAAGTGCCACTGGGCTAATTAAGGAATAACGGCTATGCAGACACGCCTGCGTTTTCTTTACCTCTTAGGGAGGTGAATTCTGGTACCACCCAAAGACGTTTCCACTGAAATCATTGCCAGCAATGCCTCGGGACACGAGTTTGAAGCCACTGCAAAGATCCTTACCGCCTCTCTCCCTTTTCCTCCATAGGTAGCTCTTCCTTTGCCAGCAAACCTACCACACCAACTGGACTAGGCGGAGGGTTTCCACCTCTCAGCTCACCGCAGAAAGCATCCCCCCAGCCGATGGGTGGAGGGTGGCAGCAGCCCGCGGGCTATAATTGGCAGCAGGCGCAGCCTAAGCCGCCATCCGGTATGCCTCACTCCTCCCCACAGAACCGACCCAATTACAACGTGAGCTTCTCAGCTATGCCTGCGGGACAGAGCGAACGTGGGAAAGGATCTTCTAATTTAGGTGAGGATGATGAGATGAAACTGGTGTCAGGTGACCTGCCCGTGATGTCACACTGCTGGGGACGTTATGTCTGAAGGAGACCAAAACCAATCCTATTGTTTATGAGACTGTCTTAAGAGCTGAAGAGATATCAGGTGATCCTCACCCCCAGTACTGTGTGTGGAGGGAGCGCCTGGGTCTACCATGACCCCATGTAGGTGTCATGTGACTGTGGCTCACTCGGTCTTTCCTTTTCCATGCTGGAGTAGGAAGGAAGACGTTTGTCACAGGTTTTTGAACCTTGCATAGCACTTGCTGTATTGTAAATCTTTATACATGTTGATTGGATGGATAAATGGAACAGAGAACTATAGCCTTTGGAAGAAAGAAAGTATTCTTAGGAGAAAAGGATTGGAACCTGTCAAAATCGCATTAGGTTTTCTTCTTGGATTGCCGTGAGAAAGGTAGTTGGCGGATTCCTGAGTTTGAGGGCACCGGTGATGATGCCACTGCCTAGGACTGGAAGATGTCCTAGACTGAATTAAAAACAAAACATATTTTTAAAGATTTATAGTATTATATATGTACGGATATTAATTATGTGTATGTATGTATGCCATGTATATGCCCGTTGTCCAAGTAAGTCAGAAAGGGCTTCAGATTCCATGGAACTGGAGTTATAGGTGGTTATGGACCACATTGTAAGTGCTAGGAATCGAACCCAGGTCCTCTGTCACGGCAGCAAATGCTCTTAACTGCTGAGCTGTCTCCCTAGCCCCACTAGATGAGATTCTTGTCACTGAGGTAAAAATAGTATCTATTACAATTGAGTTTGTCAGATGGTGTCAGTGCACTTAGCATCTCAGTTAGTTTGATGATTCCCTTCGAGGAACATGGATAAAGGTGACCCTCTTTCTTCACAGTGGTTAACATGTATTGAGAGTGTACTACGTGCAGCGGTATCCCAGGCAGTTCCATGCATATCTTCAAAACCAATCCTCTGTTACAGACGCGGAACTGTGAGGTCGATCTCTAAAGTAATTTCTCAGTTTCTTGAAATGTGTGAGAGCCAGGACTTGACTCCCAGTTGTTGGGCACCGCTGTCACTTCCAGCTGCCCACAACCCCAGTGTTGCTCACAGCACTGCTGTGACAGAAATGCACGTGCTGGGAACGTATGATGTCATGTTTAGCCTTTCGCTAGCAGGGAGATCCTCTGGGCAATTCTGTTGAGCTGCATGGCATCCCCTTCATTTTGTTTTTGAGTAGATAGAGGGTGAGTGTCTCCTAGGAGCACTTAATTTTGGTGTGCACACATGTGAATGTGGCTTCTTTAGAATATAGATGGCAGAACATTCCCAGCCGGGAACAAAAATACCTTGGGTCAATTACTACCAACCACGTGGGCTGTTGTGGTTTTGTTCAGTTTTGTTTTCAAGTGAACACTGAGATAACCAGGCAGGCTTTTAGCTCTTTCTCATGGCAACACTGTATTGTTAACACCATCCTCATTCTCTAGATTAAGAAACTGAGGTATAGATATCTCCAGTGCCCCTTTGGTCATAGCTGGGTTTCAGATACGTAGCATTGTTTCCAGGAAAGACCTGACTTTCTGAAGAAAGGCACTATGACCCAGTGAAGTCATCAGCTGGGTAGAGACAGGGAAGTGATAGCAGGGAGAATGTCCAGGACTTGAATCTATGCTCTTGTCTAATCTCTGACACCAGTTTGTTGTAATTGGGATAGAATCATTTGTATCTTTGTCTGCAAGGTTAACCTGGAGATGAAATAGGCATTAGCAATCCAGACTCCAGTCCTGTGCTTTTCATGGACATGTTGTGTGATTCTGGACAGGCTCTTTTGGTTCCCTAGCCTTCCAGTTTCCTCATTTGTTACACAGAGCCTTTAGTATTCTGCACGAGGCAGGTGGGAAGAGGATGGAAGTATGAAAAGCTACTTTGAAGCCCCGTACTCCCGAGAAGTGAGGGTCTGACCTGTTTAAGAATGAAAGTTGTGATGGTTTCCACACATTGTGTTACAGAAGGGAAACAAAAGGCTGCTGACTTTGAAGACCTGCTTTCTAGTCAAGGGTTTAATGCCCACAAAGACAAGAAGGGGCCTCGGACAATAGCTGAGATGAGAAAGGAGGAAATGGCTAAGGAAATGGATCCTGAGAAATTAAAGGTGAGTGAGCCCCTCGGTTATCCTATAGGACAAAGCTGTGCGACGAAGTCATGTCTGTCCAATCACCTCTGTATTTGTTGCCTTTGTGTTGGTCACTAGGGACTAAATACTTGACAGATACAATTTGTTTTGCCTCGTGGAGATTTCAGTTTATGGTGACAGGAAAGGCCTGGCAGTGGGAATGTGCAGAGTGGCTGTTCACTTGGAAGTGGACAGGAAGGTCGGAGAGAAGTACTGAAGCAAGAGGGGAACAGGTAGAACCTTTGAAGGCCCACTCCTAGGGAGCTATTTCTACTAGCTAAGCCCTCTACAGGTTCCACAGTCTCCCAGAGACCATCCACTGGTGAGCAGGTGTGTAGTAAGGAGGCCGCGTGTTTGTTTCCTGGCCGCCCAGACTCCCAAAATAATCACACAGAAACTGTATTATTTAAATCACTGCTTGGCCAATTACTTAACTAGTTCTTACATCTAGAATTAACCCATCTCCATTATTTTATATTTTACCATGAGGCTCATGGCCTACCAGCAAGGTTTCAGCATGTCTGACTCTGGCAGCAACTCCAAGGCTTCACCCTGACTCCGCCTCCTTTCTCCCAGCATTCAGTTTAGTTTTCCCCACCTAGCTCTATTCTTTTGCCCTATCACAGGCCAAGACAGTTTCTTTATTCATTAGCCAATAAAAACAACACATAGACAGAAGGACCTCCCACACCTCAGGTGCTCAAAACAAGAGCCTGGGGAGAACTATTTAATTTAAATCTTAACACCCGTAAAGGTCCTGCCTCCTAATGCCATGCACTACTTTGAGAGTTAAAACTCAACATTGACTCCAGGGTGGGACACCGACCATATCAACTATGGAAGGCGCTTCCTTCTGGCAGTCACTGAGTTACAGTAGGTCTCTGAAGCTGTGGTTTGAAGACAGTCCTGATCTTCAATAGCAAAGTAGCTTTGGGAAGGTCTGAGCATGATGCTTAGTTGTGCTAATAAACTCATTTTAGTCTGTGGTTTGGTAATACAGATTTCTTACATTTGCCCACCAGATGAACAATGATATTTGACTTTACATAGTTCAGAAGCCTTTAGATTATAAATATGGATCATTAGAGTTTGGTAAGAACAATTCACCATTTGTGTTTTCTGCCACCTTGAGAACTTTCTGTTGTTCTTGGTGGAGTAAAACCAGGTTTCGGTTCTCTGGTGATCGGGAGAGGAATATTCCTGTGCTCAGGATTTACCATTCTGGAGACAATCCGGCATGAGGTTTGTATAGACTGAGGAAAGGAGGCTAACGATGGTGAGGAAGGACCATGACCTCTACTATACCCTCCTCCCATTTTTAAGCTAAAGAAGTTCTTAAAACAACAAATAAAACAAAACATCTGTTTTTGATTCTAAAGTTCTGGTAAGAATTGGTTTGAGGGAAAGGAGAATGATTTTGTTGTTGTTGTTGTTGTTGTATTTTTGCACTTTAAAATAGAGGTTTGTCACTCAATGGATCCAAGTTCCTTAACTCGTCGATAAGGGAGTTCTTCCCAGGTGAGGCTGTAGTGTGGACAACTGGATGCAGATCAACCTGGAGGCAGAAGGTGGTCTGAAGACGAATGGGGTGGGGTTATTGATGAGTACATAAAGATCAACGAGTTATGTTGCAGGACATCTGAGCACACTTTGAACCCCAAAATTGTGTTATTTTCTGGAGAAAACCTGTTTCTAGTAGTGGTGTGGCTCAGCCCTAGCACACACCTTTAATCCAAGATCTTTCCGCTTGAATGTTGAAAACAGGGTTAAATAAATCAACCATAGGTCAAGCAACCAGTTGGCAAGAAGTAAACATGGGCTTATTAAGAAAAAAGCCATAGAGTAAGAGGGAGTCAGGAGGACGGACAGAGAGACACACAGGAAGTAGACGGGAGGCACACTCAGTTTGAAGAGTCTTGTTTGAGACAGTGTGGAGAAGGTTGGAGGCTCCTGGGTTGCCAGGTGAGGAGGAAGGTCAGTTGGGTGCTTTCTCTGCCTCTCTGAGCTAGCAGGCTTTCACCCCAGCACCTGGCTTCCAAAGTCTTCACTGATAAAATTCAACGATTGAGATTTTGTTAAAGACAATAGTGTTCTAAGGCTTATCTCTGTTGGAGAGCTTGAATCATTGATGGTAGGACATTAACTATGCTGAAAATCACAGTGTCTCTAGGTTGAGCCGTCTCCCGGGGCGACTCCTCACATTTTCTTCAGAACAACAGACTGCAGTGCTTTTGCTATGTCTCTGCAAATTTAAATACCAGTTGTGCACAAAAGGATCCTTCGAGACCTTCTTGAATGCAGTGAAGGACCTGTGGTTTTGCTTGCTTCTCTTGCTATCTACTTCCATTACCACTGCTCATCAGGCAAACGGAGACAGTTTTTTTTTTTTTTCAATTTAATTTATTTATTTATTAAAGATTTCTGCCTCCTCCCCGCCACCGCCTCCCATTTCCCCCTCCCTCCCCCGATATAAAGTCCCCCTCCCTCATCAGCTCGAAGAGCAATCAGGGTTCCCTGACCTGTGGGAAGTCCAAGGACCACTCACCTCCATCCAGGTCTAGTAAGGTGAGCATCCAAACTGCCTAGGCTCCCACAAAGCCAGTACGTGCAATAGGATCAAAAACCCAGTGCCATTGTTCTTGAGTTCTCAGTAGTCTTCATTGACCGCTATGTTTAGCGAGTCCGGTTTTATCCCAGGCTTTTTCAGACCCAGGCCAGCTGGCCTTCGTGAGTTCCCAATAGAACATCCCCATTGTCTCAGTGTGTGGGTGCACCCCTCGCAGTCCTGAGTTCCTTGCTCGTGCTCTCTCTCCTTCTGCTCCTAATTTGGACCTTGAGATTTCAGTCCAGTGCTCCAATGTGGCGGAGACAGTTTTCTATGAGAGAAAGGCGTGTTGTCTGTAAAGCCCTGCGTGATCGCTTGGTTGGCACGGGATTTTCATTGCTGAGGAAGGTAGCCATCAATAACCACAGCTGAACTGGTTATCCACCAACACCACCTACTGAAGCTTGGCATGTGTCAAATGCTGATGCCAACTCGTGATTCCTTCTGTTTTAGTTACTTTTCTATTGCTATGAAGAGACACCATGACCAAGGCAACTTATATAAGAGAGCGCGTATTGGGCCTCACAGTTCCAGAGGGCTGGGTGTAATCCATGATCATCATGGCAGCGAGCCCAACAGCAGGCAGGCGTGGCTCTGGACCGGTAGCTGAGAGCTTACTTCATATCCACAAGTGTGAAATAGGGAATGAAAGAGTTAACTGGGAATGGCATAGGCTCCATTCGAAAAATTAAGACTCACTCTCCCTCAGTGACACTTCTTCTCTTAACAAGGCCACGCTTCCTAATCCTCCCCAGGCATTTCCACCAAGTGGGGATCAAGAACTCCTGTATATATATGAGATTATGGGAGCTGTTCTCACCCAAACCACCGCACCTGCCATTCAATCACTTCCTTTATCACACCGTAAAGGTTGTTAGTTTGCTTACGTGACTAAAGGGATCATGTAATAAACCTTTCGAGATGCCGGTGTTTGGTTCCTAGTCTAAGAAACAGCACCTTTCTGTAAACAGTTCCACGTGACTGCAGGAAAAGGTGGACATAGAAGTTCAATAAGGTGTGACAAATATGGCCCACTTATGGTAGGACAGGTGATATTTTTCCCCCTTGTGTTGGGAGTCAAACCCACTGAGCTACACCCTTGCACAACGTTGGCCAGCCTACAAGGATGGTTTATTTAGTTCGTGGAACAAAGGAGGTCCGGGTGTGACCTCATGAAGTTCATATGTTAGGAGTGTATAATTAACTGTAGGAAGTCAGAGAGAAAGGAGTTCAAACCACAGAGGGGTACTCTGAGGTCCATGAACAGGTTTTAAACAACCATGTACACCGGAAGGGTGAGGTGGGAGGTGGGGGAGTGTTCCAGCTAGAAGGGGGCGCTTGTTCAGTTCTACTGAAACAGGGTAGATCTTCAGAGTCCTGGTAGACAGGAAGTGTTTGACTGTCTTAACCCTTTCCTATTTCCTGCTTGCAGATCCTGGAGTGGATAGAAGGCAAAGAACGAAACATCAGAGCCCTGCTCTCCACGATGCACACGGTGCTGTGGGCCGGGGAGACCAAGTGGAAGCCGGTGGGCATGGCCGACCTGGTAACACCAGAGCAAGTGAAGAAAGTGTACAGGAGGGCTGTGCTGGTGGTGCACCCTGACAAGGTGGGTAGGGCCTGCCCTGTCAGAGACTTGTCCGGTCCTTGTTTCGGGGATGAGAAGCACGGGGTAAAACAGCATGCTCACCGTTTGCTGATTAAGACATTTCTTGAACAAAACTTACTGTGTGGGTCATTTAAATCAGGTCTCTAAACAGATAGTCGTACTTCATGAGGTTGGCGGAAAACAACCCAAGCATCCTTTACAAAGAGCAGGGCGAGCGCCTTATTCACTACGGAAATGCAGCACTCGTCAGTGACTTAGTTTTAGGGTTTACAGGTGATCTTGAACTACAATACTAAAACGAGACAGAGTACTTCAAATGAAACTGCGGTTCCTGCGGAAAGCAGTATCACGTTCAGCCGGAACCGTAGGAGACGCTTTAGGGTACATTTGGAAAACGAAATATTGGTGAGGATCGACAAAATTTTTAAAATGTCAGTGTGTGTTGCCATTGATGCTTAGGGTTTGAATAAATTCCGAGCGCTCCACAGGGTCAGAACTTCAGCTCCCTCCGGGCCAAATTCACCTCAGACTGAAGGACCCCACGCTGCTGTCGTGTGAACGGTGGCAGATGCGTGACATGGAGTCGTGACTGTGGTGCCTTTGGGACGGCATGTTTGAAATCGCGTCAGTTTCCATCTCTCGGCACTCCATATGACCAAACACAATGATTTGTGGGAAACAACGTTAGTGCTTGGACTTCATTCAGTCAGAAGAGAAATCGGAGTCCAGAGAAATGGGCAAACTGCCCTATTATGAGTCTCAAAGACCTTAATTTTATAGAAATTGGAAAAAGGGGGCTTGGAAATACAGTCAACTACGCGTAGGGCTTTCATTAACAATGAGATGTATTTTTTGCTGCCCAACAAGCTCCCTGTTTTCTCCTTACTGGTAGGTTTCTCTTAGTCTCTGTGAGTCTCCAGGGCAGTGCTTGATAATGAAGTTCATATAGGTAGGCTGTAAAAAGAAATGTCTTAATGGAAGAACATTTTTAATTACAATCCACATTCTTAGTGAATTTAGTATAAGTTTAATGCTAAACGTCTAATTGTGCTTTCTGTTTTCTTTAGGCTACTGGGCAACCCTATGAACAATATGCAAAGATGATTTTCATGGAGCTAAACGATGCCTGGTCTGAATTTGAAAACCAAGGCCAGAAGCCCTTGTATTAATCTGTGGGCTTTTTCTATGCTGGCTGCAGCCCTGTGTTAATGCTTAGTGTGTATCACAGTTCTGAGATTTTCACAGATGAACCAAAAATTCCAGTAATGTATTTCGAGTCCTAAACTGTTAAGTTCCTCACAAATTCATTTCTCATGGTCAGGAATGTGAAAGTTTGGTTTCTTAAAGTCCATAGCACCAAGAGGAACTCTAGCAAGCTGACCTTGCAGAGTTAGGACGTTCCTGCTTGCCCTCTGGGAAGCCTCCTCAGCATTTTGCCTGGGGAAATGGGGCAGAGGCCACCCAAGTGGAAGTCATGACATCCATTTCATTGTCCGAGATTACGATTTATGAGTGGATGTTTTGATAATTGGATTACGTAATGGTTTTAAGGAATTAATTTAGGGATATTTTTGTTTGCGTTTTATTTTTAAAAGATGTAATGTGGGCAATGGATATCACCAACTGAGTATTTCTCAATGGAAATTCACTAGAGCCCTTACCTCCTTTAGAGTGTGTATTTTGCTCTAGAGAGTTAACAATGAAAGAAGGGGCTAAATGGTGGGATATGATCTTGCAGGTCTAGGCATTACCCCTGACTTTTCCGGGATGAGCTGCAAACCCAAGCACGGGATAGCTAAAGAAACCTGGAGCTTTGAGATGTCAAAGCTCGACTTCCTGTCACAGATGTTGGGCTGCTGGCTCCCTTTCCCTTAAAAAAATCTATGGTTGACTATAGGCAAACCTCCAGACACTCCCACCACCGCCACAACTCCAAACTGGTTTGAAAGCGCCTTCTAATGGCTCCCACCTGGCTTAGTGTTCTTTCTTTTGCTTAGTCAAGAAAACCTTCTTCATGGGCGACTGTTTGGAAGGCAGGTTTGGCCCATTCACAGTTGGATGGATCTGGTGTTCTGGGGGTTTGTAAGGAGCTATGGGTAAAGCAGAGAGGACAACGCTAAGTACTAGTAGGAGAAGGGCTCCCTTGGGGAGAGAGCTGCGTGTGCCTTCAGATTCAGTCGGATAGCTTGCCAGTTTGGGAGACCAGATTCCCACCCACCCAGTGAATCTGGACCCCACCCCCTTCCTGGATTACATCTGCTGGGTTTGCTGTTGGATGCCTGTAGTGGGGAAATATGCAAGAATGAAGCTTTCGCAGAGCTACAGCTGGTCATGTTTCAGCCCAGTGTTCAGTGCTTCCTGCTCTGCAGGGTAAGCAGCTTGGACGGCTGGGACTTCACTAGGTCTCCTGGTGAGCACATGTGCAGCATCTGTCTATCCATACATGCATGTGTAGATGTATGCTGTGCACATGCGTAGTCACAGAGCAGGCGGTCCAAAGACATTCGTTCTAATCTTAAAAAGGTCACACTCGCTGTTGTGAAAAGCTTTCCAAAAGTTGCTTTTCGAAGACAATCATTTTGTTTGTTTGTTTCTGTTTAAATATTCTTGTGACAAACGGAACCAGAAAGGCAGCATGTCGGAAATACTTTTGTTCTGTATAGATCTCTCTCCTCTCTCTCTCTCTTTTTTTTAAATTATAAAAGTTCTTCTTTTTATTTTACCGTTTACTGATAATGTGAAATTCTCAAAAAAAATGCTCTCTTATAAATATACAGCTGTAAACTGTTCAAAGTAACCATAACAACCTAGGTGTTATTTATTGACGTATTAAACAATGATGTCTTACCCAGTATGTGCTTGTCCTATTTAAGATTGGGATGTGAGACATGTTGATGTGACCTGTTTTGGTTTTGTTGAGCTTTTTGTTTTTTTCCTTCATTCACATTTGTAGATATTGTGTGAACTACAGTAAATAATGACAATAATTAAGAGGATATTATGTGGCTGTCACGTACATTTTGAGACAATAGAACTATATTAGCTTTGTATTATGTTTGCATAGCTCATTAATGTTCATGGTTCCAATACCACTAAATGTTATGCAATTAGCAATGAGAAAGAACCCCTCCTTAAGCCTGGGGGTTTCCCACCTCTCTTTCCCAGATGCATTATGAGTCTGGACGCCTGTCTGTCTCAGAACTTTTAACACGTGCAGACCGGTAGGTTCTGCATGCCTTTTAAGTACCTGGTTGTGACAGCTTGTTGTTGGTCGGACCCACTGTCTCATCCATATTTATTGTAATATATTTTTGTTTTGTAAATACGGTAAACACAAAATGTCATTGTTCTAAAATATTTGTAATGTATATTAAAAAGGATAAAAAATACTTGTGGAAATATACGTTATTTTTGTACTTGTGGGGATATAAGGGGCTAGGAACAGTGGTTCTCAACCTTCCTAATGCTCTGACCCTTTAATACAGTTCCTCATGTTGTGGTGACCCCCAACCATAAAATTATTTTTGTTGCTACTGCATAACTGTAATTTTGCTACCATTATGAATCATTATGCACACGTTTTGGAGATAAAGGTTTGCCAAAGGGGCTGTAACCCCATTGGTTGAGAACCGCTGGGCTAGAGAGATGACTCAGTGGTTAAAGGTGCCTCTTACTCTTCTCTTGCACAGGACCTGACTTGGCTTTTCAGCCCTCCCTGCCTGTACCTCCAGCTGTGGAGAGATCTGGTGCCCTCTTTTGGTCTCCACAGGCACTTTTGCTGATGTGCACATACCACCTCCCCCATAGGCCTGATTAAAAATAAAAGAAATCTTTAAAAAAAAAAATGAAACAAACAAATGAGATAAGGAATGCAGTGACAAACCTGAGAGCCACCAGCTGACCTGATTTGCTTTTAAGGAACAGTAAGGGTAAAGAATGAGAAAAGTGCAGAATACATTTCCATCAAAATGTAACCTGACAAGATTCTACAGTTACACTTCCATCTCCCAGTATCATTTATTCCCTGAGACAAAATGACAGACAGACAGACAGACACACACACACACACACACACACACACACACACACACACACGTCATGCCTAATGATACTGTGTTGCAAAAAGGAATCAACATAGAAATCTCATTCTCATCACCAGAATATGAATGCATTTTCAGCTGTGTGTGTGTGTGTGTGTGTGTGTGTGTGTGTGTGTGTGTGTGTGTGTTGAGTCATAGAGACTGATCTATAGTTTGGGACTTTACCACAGGACAGAAACATTTGTAGACATGCTGTACCAGAGTACTTGAGCCACTACTGTGTCTGTGCATCTAGACTCAGAGGCTCAAGTTAATACCAGTGCCCCTGGTGAGACCCCACCTGGTAATAAATCACGAAAGTTGAATTCCAGAGCAAGTTTTCATAGCACAGGCCAGTTCCCATCCTGGAAGCACCAGACCAGGAAATGTAGGTCAAATCAAGAGGTTTTTATTATCCTAAAAATAAGGCATACAGTTTGTAGTACAGTGCTACGTATGGGTTTGAAACTAAAAGAATAGCTTTGAATCCTGATTTTTTTTTCTACTTAATATCTGTTCTCTTGACAAATACTTTATACTCTCTGAGTCCTGATTTTATCATTTGTAAAATAGATTCTTCACAGCTCCTCTGTGGAAGAATTAGGGACCGTGTATGTAAATTGCTATCACATGGATACTGACCAATAACTATTGCTACTGTTCACGACAGATCGATAAGACAGGGTAGCACTGATAGTATTGAAGCTGGAACTACATGGAGCCCTCAAGTTTGAGAAATGGGCAAAGGAGTAGGAAAGTGTTGACTGAGGTTTCTGTCCCACCAGGTTCCACAGCCGTTTAGTCCCAAATAAACACACAGGGGCCTACATTATTTATAAACTGGTTGGCCTAGTAGCTCAGGCTTATTATTAACTCTTGTAACTTACAGTATCCCTTAATTCTTGTCTGTGTTAGCCTTGTGGCATGGTACCATTTTCAGTGAGGCAGTCACATCTTGCTTTCTCTGTCTGGTTTTCTCTTTTTCTAGGTAACGACTGCAGACTGACCGTTTCCTCTTCCCCAAATTCTCATCACCCCATCTCTACTTCCTACCTGGTCACCCCAACTATACTTCCTGCCTGGCTACTGGCCAATCAGCGTTTATTTAAAATACAAGTGGCAGGGTACAAAGCATTGTCCCACAGCAGAAAGTCTTCTGGAAACTCCTCCTCCCCAGCACTTCTTCCTGTCTTCTTGGGGTGGGGGTTGGGTGTGATCTGGATGTAGAAAATGGCAGATGCTAGTAGGTTCTGTAGGTGGGATAGCTGTGGGCAAGGAAGACAAATCTGTTTATTGGTTTCTGTTAGCGTTATAGCATGCTTCCGTTTAACTGATGCACTGACCTTAGAGCCTGCTGTAGGGCACATATGATACCTTGTGGTGATCTTATGGGTATGGTCATGTAAGAGTTGAGGTTTGAAAATGGTATTTTCTATGAGATCAGGAGAAGCTATACTCTTCATAGTAAACTTACTAATATTTGCTATGTCAGGGATCAGAAAATGACTACAAACTGAATACCTCAGAAGACAAATTTCTCTGATTTCCCATCTTCTTTTACTAGGCAGATAATAGAGATTAGAATTCACTTTTGCCTAAACAGGTCATAGAACTCATGCCCTTTCTTTAAAGCCAGATATATAACTGGAGATGGAAGTTTCTGTCCTGCATGGTTCCACAACCATTCAGTCCCAAATAAACACACAGAGGATTATATTAATTATAAACTAATTGACCTATTGCTCAGGCTTATTACTAACTAGCTCTTACAGCTTAAATTAACCAATAATTCTTACCTATGTTTAGTCACTTGGCTTGGTACCTTTTCTAAGTAAGGCATTCTCATCTTACTTCCTCAGCATCTGGCTGGTGACTGTGCCTCTGCCTTTCCTCTTCCCAGAATTCTCCTAGTCTGGTTGCCCCATATATTCTTCCTGCCTGGCTACTGGCCTATCGGGATTTTATTAAACCAATATGAGTGACAAAACTTTACAATGGACAGGAGCATTATCCCACAGCATAAAACCTTCATTCTCCTCCCTTTTGCTGTAAGAGTTGACCATTGGAAGTTCTTTCGTCTTCTTTGATTTTAGATCCTACGCTCACTAGCCCGGGAAGGGTCCCTGTGCTGTCTCTAGAAGGAGGAGTGCTGCACGGAGCACCCGGGAAGAATGTGAATAGACAGGTTTCCCTGCAGTCTTCCCTGTTAGATCAGATTCTGTTTGACTGATCATATTTCTATGTGGCTGTCAGTGCTTTGTCAAATGTAAACATAAGAATGCATAGCATGCACAGACTCCTTGATTCTTCAACCTGCAGGCTCCCTGTGTCATTTAAAACTACAATTAAATAAATTTGTTGTGATTTTTCTGTTGTAACCTGTGTTTTGGTATGGTGGCATTGGTCATCAAACTTCATGAATGTTAAAGGGATCACACCTTTTTTTTTTGCTCCCCCACAGTTAATAGAGCCAACCTTTGGTATATACCCCAGGCAAGACACTAGTAAATATGCAGATTGATATGAAATCAATGAATTGCTTTGAATACCCTCTTACATGTAAGGTATTACTATCAACTTCTGCCTCCTCTGAGCATAAGATCTACTGTGAGAAGAGAACAGTTGTGAGTGGCTAAATTAAGTGTTTCAGGGGTTGATCTCAGCTTTTCTGTTCCCTGGCCACTATCTGAGCCTTGGTTTTAGTGGCTATAAAATGGAGATAATAAAATCGAGTTCATTGCGTTTGAAACTTGAACTCAAGGAGGAAACCTTAAGATTCATCCTAAGTGCTCTAGTGGTAGGCAGGGAGACAGAGGTCCAGGTCTTGTAAGCGACAGTTAAGTAACAACATAGGAATGGCTGGTTGGGGTGAAATGCAGGTTTTGGCAGGTCTTCTTGTGAAAATGTGGAATGAATGGGTGAGCACAATGGCTTTGCAGTGTAATGTCTGGCAAAAGACAAGTCTGATTCCTCAGGTGATGCTCAAAGCCTCTGGCAAGGTGCTCAGTGAACTGAAAGTTGGTCGGCAGAAAGCAGCTGGAGATAAACACTCACTGTCTCAGAATTGTTCCGATTCCAAATGCGACCCAGGGGCCAATAACTAACTTTCTTTTCTTTTCTTTTCTTTTCTTTTCTTTTCTTTTTCCTTCCTTCCTTTCCCCTCCTCCTATTCTTTTTCCTTCTTCTTATCATTTTCCAGTATTTTCTTTCCAAGCCTTGGGCATTCACTCTACACTGTATCTCTGACGTCAGTTTCTCTCGAATCATGGGGTTAGATGCAGGCTGACATAGAAGTCTCTGGCAAACCCCTCTATGTGGCCATTCAGGGACAAACTGGATGGTTGAGGATGGGAGGAGAATGTATCCTAATTATTTAAAGTGGGAAAATATCCTAGCTCCCCACTAAAGTGGCTCAGCGGTTATAATGGAGGAATTAAAAACAGGTTCGACTGAGCAACTTCCTGAGTACTTTCCCAGGTGCCACAATGCCTCCTTGTCACCAGCTGTATCGTCCACGATGCTGGCAGATGCCTGACACTGCAGAGAGTACCAGATCCTATGTACACTGTTTATCCTATACACACTCACAGTGGCACAATGACTTCACTTGTAATGGTTACATTATGATTAACAGTATAAATTAGAAAAGGTTATATTGTAATATGTTTTGCAAATGTGTTTCTCAAAAAATGTGTTTGTGGTTTTTGTCTTTCTAACCTTATCTAAGGAGCTGTTCGGCACAGTTCCTATCCTTTATGAACCCCTTTCTGGAGAGGTTTTCGACTAGATGGTTTCTAAGATGAAGATTCCGGTGACGAAGGTTAAGAAAAAAGTGGCTCTGGGGGAATGAAAATTGGCCTTAATTACTTGCAAATTCGCATTGCAAAAATAATAGCTCTTTATTTAAGGATTCAGGAGAACTTCGGACCGAAAGAGTCTGTATGGTACTTATCGCTACAAATAAGCAAGAATGAAGGAGATAGACGGACACACTAGTTTATACAAAATGTTAAAGCATCTAGAATATCCTGAGGCAGCATCTGGATCCGAAGTCACCACTGTGAGGGAGGTTTGGTCCTCAGATTGAGGAGCAGGGCTGGGACGTCTCGTCTCAGGATTTCTAGAATCCCTGGAGTTAAAATTAAGAGGTTATTCTAATGTAGTGAAAGTGGGAGGGGTGCTGAGACTATGATCCGAGTTCTGTGCCGGGACTTGGCGACTACGTAAAGGAAGTTTGAGTGGCAGGAATTAGGACCAGTAGTGTCTGGACTCTGAGTGGAACAATCCAACGGAGGCGGGGTTCTGCAAGACGGAGCAGGATCGGCCTGATAGGAGC